ATATGGACAAAGGTCCACGCTGCATCTCCAGTCCTGTAGATAGGAAACCCCTCTCAAAGGCTTCTTGGGCCCCGTGCAGACGGAAGAGCCGGGGGGACCACATGGAGGCACATAGGGTCCCCCAACCCCATGCACATGGAGGCCGAGGTTCACACCGAGGCTCATAGTGTCCCCTCAGCCCCGTGCGCACATGGGTCCCGGGGCAGTCGGACCAAGGCCAGTAGGGCCCTTCCAGGCCCTTGTGTACAGAGCTTCCGTGGGGCCGTATAAAGCTGCGTAGGGTCCCCTCCCACACTGTGCACACAGAGGCCACAAGGGACTACCTGAAAGCCCATAAGACCCCCCTGGCCCTGTGTGCACAGAGCCCCTGGGCAGCCACGCCGAGGTCCATAAGGCCTCACCAACCCCATGTATCTGGAGGCCCCGGGGGGCTGCACAAAGCCCTGAAGGCCCCCCCGGCCCCTCGCAGTCCCTTGCACAGAGAGGACACAGCAATGGCACAATACCCCAGGTCCACAGGGGCCTGGACCCCTTCCTCCTGAGCAGAAAACACACGAGAAGTTTGGGCTAGAAACTTAGACACACTAGAAGTTTGGGCACAACACACACAAGTTTGTATCTTTACAAAGGAGGGAGGAAATGGCTCCCCCTGCTTTGGCTGATGAGCAGGACAAAGGAACACTTTGGACAAAGCGATGAGCAGGGCAACGGCGGGAAACTAAGTGGAGCCATGAGTGGGGCTCGAGGCTCGTGTGCGGGGCGCCCCGCTGCTTCCCGTGCCCCTGTGCCCTCGGTGCCGGTGCCGCCAGGGCTCGGACCCCACGCACCCGCCATGCCTGGCGCCGCCGCCGCCGCCCCGCGCCCGGCCGGGCCCTGCCGCCACTCTGGGCAGCGAGCATGGCCACTGCCTGCGAGACATGCTGCGCGAGGGCGGCGGGGCCAGTGGGGCGGGCTCGGGGGATGCAGCCCGCCTTGCGCGGCGGGAAGCCGCCCCAGGGAAGGGAGCTGAGGTGTGGTGTGGTGGGGTGGCACCGGGGGGCTCGTGGTTATTGCACTGAGGGCATTTGCAGCGGAGGGAGAGGCTTCCCGGGGATTGCACCAGCAGCAGGGGGGTTGCATGGGGGGGCTTTACCAGGTGCTGGTGCTGCCTCCGGAGCAGTTGTGCATCCAGCACTGCACGTGGTGGGTGGCAGCCGGCGCAGGGCCAGAGCAATCCCTGCCACCTGGGGTACGTTTGGGGACCGCAGGAGTGGCACTGCCCGCCCGTCCCCGTGTGCAGCGGATGGAGGTGCTGCTGGAGGCCGAGGGGGTCCTGTGCTGCTCAGCCCTCCACGAACGCCTACGGCTGCAGGGGCGCTGTGGACGGCAGCAACGTCCTTGTTGTCCGTATGCCTAGTGTTGGTTGGGAGGACAACGGGTCAGGCACCACCCCCCCCCCAAAAAAAACCCCAAACCTGCAGCTTTGACCCTCCTTGCTGGCCGGCCCAGATCTGTAGCCGTTGAAGGTGGTGACGCTGGGGCAGGGCTGCTTGGACAGGCACAGGCAGCTGACCAACTCACCCTGGCCCTGCTCTCCCTTATGTCACCCTCCTCCTCCATGGGCATCGCCATTACTAGGTGAGTGGGCAGGGGGGGCCGGGACACAGACACTGCCCTCTCAGGTGTCGTCCCCTGATGCCCCTCTGGCATCAGCATCGCAGCGCAGAGCGGCTTGGTGCAGGGGAAGGTGCTGGCTGCCACCTTGGGATCCATCACAGAGCTCCCCTTCTACCTCCGTGAGCTCCTCAAGGGCACCACGAGGGCAACAAGTGATCCAAGGAGAGCGAGGGCAGCACTAATGGGCACCCTGGTGGGCTGCATCTGCCTCATGCCAGTGAGCAGAAGCCCCGTCCTCCACCTTGCATTTTTTCTTCTATTTTTTTTCTTTTTCCCCCCTTTTTATTTTCCCTTTTTTCCCCCTTATACAGATTTTTACTCTTTTTTTCCACTCCTTTTTAGGTTTTTCTTCTCCCCCTTTTTTTTTCCCCAAGGTACCTTTATATCAGTTAAGTTACTTTTATAGCTTTATCTTCCTATTCAGCAATGATTACCTGAGGCATTTTTAAGCCTTTGTCAGGTAGATGAAGACTTGGGAATGTCTTGTGGGGATGCGACGCTCGGGAAACGTCCCAAGTGTTAGGTCTGTCACGTCTAATTTGTGGGGGCATCCAGGTGTGATGTAGGGGTGCAGAGGTGGCAGGAAACAGCTGTGCAGGATTGATATTGCACAGGGCCTCCCAAAGTGGGGGCATTTTAAGTAAGAATGGAGAAAGTAGGAAAGGAGAAGATAGCATTACCTGCGCCTCCTGCAAAATTCTGTTTTTCGAAAGTGTCCTTGGAATCGGAATGGGCCTCTGTGCCTTGCAGCCCAGTGGAGAAAACGGACATCCTCTTCCTGGAAAGGATAATTGCTTACAGGGTTTGTAAGCGGGCTTCTGCTGGCAAAAAGAACTGCTCACTGCTCATGAATCAGTACCTAGAGGTCCTCAAGGTGAGGTCCTTTTACATAAAGGTGAAGGTTTTTATTAGTTTTTAAAGATTTTTTGTTAAGTCTTGTGCTGAGCGAGAATCTTGCTGTCTAAAACTCTTCAGTGTTTGTCTCCATCTTGCTACAGATCACAGCAGCCAAAGAGTTTTCATCAACTTTCCTCATTAACACGACCATGAAGATGAGAGAGGCTGGAGAGTGGAAAGTGATCTGGGACTGGGGACTCCTTAATATCTCCATTGCATGAATGATCTATACCGACATGTATGTTGATTGTTAATCTGACTCAATTATGCAAAACATCCTGCTTTGTATAGGCCTCAGTATTTCCCATAACCCGATTATTGCTAATTGGTAACTTCTTTTTTATTTTTCCTTTTCAGGGCTGGAAAACATCTCAGCTTGTACTACAACATCCCCTTCTGGCCACTCCGGTATATTGGTGAGCTGTCACTGCCTGTCAATGAGTTTTGAGGAGGAGAGAATATTTCACACTTGCATTTTCTTGCTGGGAAAGTTGTTTTAAAGGCAACTTTAAAAAAAAAAAACTTCATTTTATTTTCTTTTGTCCTTCTTCATGCTATGGGAATTTCCTCACTGTAGTGACAGGTAAGAGTCTATTAGCAGCTGTGTTGTGAGGCTGCATGGCATTTCCAGATAATCAAAGTTTCTTTCAAATGAGTAGACTCCAAAGTGGCTGTATCGAGTCCTTCCAGAGGATCAAAAGGAAGAAGAGTGAGCCAAATGTGGAGAGGACAGGTGGAGGGTTTGGCAGAAGACCCTTGCTAAAGAGCGTGAAGCTTCATTGCAGTGGTTTGTGTTCTGCCTGGAAAATACCTTGCACTTTTGCAAATACACATTATAGCCACATAAAATGAATTTTAATCTAGAAAGGAGATTTATCTCTACTGGTTCTTATATAAAAATATATAAATAAAATATAAAAATATAAAAAATAAAAAAATAAAATTATGGATTCAAAATAGTAAGCTCTAGTATACCTGGAGCAAATTCTGTATGCATTTTGGACAATGTGGAGACATGCAACATCAGGGAGGATGCATCAACCTTCTTCTAAGTGTTGAGAATCAAGAGTTCTGTAGGCCTATGTTCATTGTATCAATCATTCATAATAAGAAAAAGGCATGAGAAGCCCATAGGCACATTCACAAACTGTTTTTAAACCTCTAATCCCTGGCAGCCCAGGACTTTCAGGGCTGGATGAATTCAGCCAAGTTGTTTCAAGGTGCAGCCTTCCATCACCCAGGCTGTCCTTACCGTAGTTTTCCTGCTATTTAATTCAAAGCAAGAGAGCCAGCTGCAGATAGATAATGACAAGGAATGATTTATGGTTCCTATTTGAGATTTGCTTTAAGTTAACAACAAGTACACAGAGCAGAACTGAGTACTCAGCTGCCGTTCTTACATGGGCAGCCTCTTCATCTTATAGCAGGATTAGTATCACAGGCACAGAAGCACACAGAAGCAGCCAGCAAGGGAGCTAGTTTCAATGCTACCTCCCAGCCGTACACTGAGACTATAAAGAAAACTGCTAGGAAAGAGCAGCCCTCTAGGCTTTCATGTGGCCTCCCCTGGCCTCCATGTGCAGCTGGCCCCCCGGGGCTGCAGACTTTTGTGCAGCCTCCTCGGGCCTTCATGCATAGTTGGCACTGGAGGCCGTACGGCCTTTCGTGGTGCCTGCAATGACACCCGCCATGCAGGAACTTGCTTTATGACACAGTCTGCCCTGTGCTTTCCTTTTCTCTTTGCTTTGATCACAATGTTCCTCTTGTTTTTTTATTAGGTTTGGGTGGACATTTCTTCAAGTCCTTCAGTTGCCATACACCCTTCTCACCCACCCAAAGATACTTGATCCATTTTTCCATGATTATTAATACCATCCAACTACTTTGTCCGAAGCCTGTTGATGCTGACACTTGCATTTCTTTACATTTCCATAATGAAACAAGGCTTTGATACACCAAGTTTCTGCAGACACATGAGTGAGAACAGCAGCTTGCTGCAGTCTCTCCCCTACACAGTCTGAGGCCAGGGGAAGAACCAACCATTTTATTCCCCTGTCTATTTAACGGCATGACAACTGTACCATCAGAAGAGTTGAAAACAATAAATTAGATCAACAAGCTCTCTTTGAAATGTAAATTGATTGCAAAACTCATAAATTGGAATATTGATCAAAAAAGAGCAAGATTTCAAGTTATATCTATTATCTCTGGGTTTCTTCCTCAAGAGAAGCTTCAACAGCAGGTTCGCATGCTCAGACTAATGTGCCCCTTTCCTCAACGAGAGATTCTGGGCTCTGGCATCTCCCTCATCTAATCAAATTACAGTCTCTATTAGAATTCAGCTTAGAGTTCAACCTACGTGGATTAGAGCAATTCAAAGCAATAGGGTAAGCAGCCCACAGAGCACAGAGGCAGAGTGAATTAATCACTTCCTTCATTAAAGCTTACCTTGAAAGAAGTCAGTCAGCAAGTGAACTTGTCATCAACATTTTCTTGCATTTATTTTTATGCTCACATGAGGATCAATGTAACCGAAGTCTATCGAGATGCTAAATCAAGGCTTTTGTTCCTAACTAGAAATAAATCACTTTATCATTTTAATATTTCCTTAGAACAGAACTGACATTTCAACTGCGGTGCCCTTTTCCTAATACTTTTAAGTCAAATTACAAAAGAGATTAAGGCAAAACAATAAACAGCGGCAATGCCACCTCCTGAAAAAAAAAATACAAGCATTCTTCCTGGGTCAGTTGTCTGGAAGAGCTTTTCCTCCTCCCAGAGCTCTTCAGCCTGCCTTGATTGTGTTTGAACACATCTGGTTTCTCAGTTGCTAACAAGTAGCCTGAACTAGTACAAAAGGCAGAAAAGCTCCACGTAGGGAGGAACTGTGGAAAAACTGAGCTTCCAGGCAGGCAAGGCCATATATACCATCAAAGTTACAAACTGCTATTGCAGTGCAGTTTTGGTGTTGCTTCCTTCCATTCAATAGTTAGCTTTTTTTGGGGATAGAAGCTCATTAGAAAGGTCTGAAATGCCAACCTTTACTTAAAAGGCAGATTATTTTGCAACTATCATAAACCAGTGAAAGTAAAAAACGTCTGAAACCAGCACACGGACTGATCTGAGTGAATTTTGTAAGCTGGAGGAGCCCCTCATCTTTAAAGACCTCACAATTTGGGGAAGAAATGCATGCTTTTAAACATACTTCAACAAATATAACTTCAGGCTTCCTTACCCATCATTGTCAATCTATGCAATTAATTCCCTTCATCTTCATCCTTCTGCGAAGGAATGACACAGGATAATTCTTATTTACAAGATCTAATAACTGGGTCACCCTTTTAAGAGGCTGGTATCTCATTACAATCAAAACAAATAACCTTCCAGACAGGGGCAGCTTCCACCTTCAGAGATAAGCACATTAGAGCAATTCCAGTTGATAGGCTGAAAAAAATGAGGTTGTTTTATTGATGAGTAGCATCTGGCAACAATCATTTAGCTAATACAGACAGACTTCAACCAAAGCATGAGCTTTGAATCAGAAGTCGTAAAGTGACATGATGCCTTAATAAATTAAGGAAGTTGCAATTCCTCTCCATCATCAATGCTTCACTTGAAGTTCTTTGCAAATTCCTCTCCCTTCTTAATAGAAGCCTTCAGCTCAGACATGGCCTCAGCAATCATCTTCTCTTCAAAGGGGGAGATCTTGCCCACACCTAGGTTCTTCTCAATTCCATTTTTCTGAGGGAAAAATTATTTAAGAATTAACCATTCAATTAATCAGCTATGGAACTTTCCAGCTCTGATTACTTATTCGTCTGGGATACAGACCCAGCCTAGGAGCTGCATGCCAACCTCAGGCTGCCTTGCAAGGCTCTGCAGCACCTTGCTCTCTGCAGCGATTTTCACAGCCTTCATAAGCTTCTCATTCACTGTTTACCCTGCAGCATGAAAGCTGCATATGCAGCACTAGCCACCTGGTGCTATCCAGGAAAGATGGATGCCATCTACTCCTTTGTGCCCTATCCATTCTCCAGTACTGCAGACCTGCATGGGAATTCTCTCCCCGTGTGAAAGCCCTTCATTTGCCACTGGCTTGCAAACTGAAACTGCTTCAGAGCTGCTCTCCTGGCTATTACAGATCTTAAGTCTGCATTCAAATCCTTCCCTCTTAACATCCTTCCTTTTCCATTCCTGCATCAGTTAGCACTTAGAAAACACACTGCACTTTCCAGCCCAGCTGACTTTCCAGGGCTGCAGATTCTGTTTTTTGCCTCATCCACAGGGGACAGCGACAAAGGAAAACTTCCTCCAGAGGATAGCATACCTAATCTATTAATCCATACTGTAATTTCCACACATGCCTCAATTTGTGCAGGATTGGCTTGCATCAGATCAAGTTGAGGTGATCACATGGCAGTTTGTGGTTAATTATTTGAAAGCCCTTCATAAACCAGCACCAATTTACGGTCAGTGTGACCTCCTGACACAAATTACTCAGTAAGCTGCAGTCTAAGAGTGGAGCTTAGTGAAGCAGCAGCATTCCAGTGAAGCAACAGGCTTGTGCATAACTGAAACATCAAAATATTCAAGAACTCTTAAACGTATGCTCATCTGTCAACGTGAGTGAATCTTAGTATGAGACAAAGTTGAAATCACTCAACAGAAAGGCAGAGTTAAAAAAAACAAGACTAAATCAGTAACTACTGTTTATAAGCCCTATTATTTAAAATACATACCCCAAGCAGCAAAGGTGTAGAGAAGTATGGGCTCTCTGTCTCTTCTGATCGAACAAAGGAACATTCAATAACCCCCTCCTTTCCATTCATCGCATCCACCAGAGAAAATACAAATCGGGCACCAGCATAGGCCATTGACAATGTTGCAGATCCTGCAAAAGTCAAGTCACTTTTAAAACACAGATCATGTTTAAATACATTTCTTTAATATCAAAAGACTTCCATACTACTGTATTTAGGGAGCTGCAGTGCCATTTACTTCAAACTCAGTCACTTTGATAAATCACTGCAAAGCAGTGTTTCCTAACAGCAAGTTTTATGTCTACCTCTTCAGCCCCCCTCCCTCAGGGCTCTGTATAAACACTTATAGACAAAAACAGACAGTATTCACCATATCTAAAATCCTCCCCTTTTCATTCTCCAGGCCTGTCTATTTGCAAAGACAATTATTATTGTGCTTCCACCATTTGTAATTAATTGCAGTCTTGGCACAGTCCGAATAGTGGTCATAGAAGACCATAAGCCCCAACCTTATCACTACTCAGCAGGTTTGGATCACCTACACCCCAGGTAGCTGGCCAGATTCAAAGGAGACGTGGCTTAATTTGGATAGAGAAGATGATTTTTGAAGTAAAATATTTTGCAGGATCAATTAATGTTTGGTCTTACCTGCAAATTAAGTTGCTTCTACTGCCATTTTCAGACAGATATTGACGTAATAAAACAGCTAAATTTGCAAGCAACAATTCTTAATTCTACACCACAAATGCAGTAAAGAATATACTAGGGTTGGTACTGCCTTCATTCAATTCAACACAGAATTATGTAAAAGCCAAAGCCAAAACCAACCTGCTCCTGCTTTAGCCTGGACAACTTCAGTGCCAGCTTCTTGAATTCTCCCTGTGAGCTTTTGCAGCTGATCCTGAGGAAAGTCCACTTTTGGTGTGCACTAAAAATGGAAGAAAACATTACTATCCAATACTAGAAGCTCTACAGATTCAGTATAAGGCCGTCCATGTGGTACTTTCTTTACAGCTGACATTGCTCCGGGAAGTTTTAACTAGGAAAGCTAATTGCCCCAGCTTATAGACTGAGTGACAGACTGACCAGCTATGGAAGTTCACCAATCTTCTCGCTACTGCCCGAATTATAACAGTAGCCTGTTCATTGCTAGCTTGCTCAAGAACACTTCAAGGCCTGACTACAAAGCTAGGGCTTGTCATTGTCCTCCAAGCATGTAACAGGCCTTAGGAATTTCAAAAGGCCACCTACTATATATTTAGGTCACTGTGATGTTACAGAAGTTAAGAACTTTATGAAGCATCCAGTCTACAAGCACTATTTACAAAGTATCTGAACCTTCACATACTGCTCTGTGAGTCTGTTAAGAGCAATGTCATTGTCCCCACAGGATGTGCTAATGCAAGCACCCTCTCAGGATACAGCTGCCCTGCAGCCTTTGCTCTTATTCCCCAGGAGTACATCCTCTGTGAGGGATACTTGATTCCTGCTAAAGAAAAGCTTTGCCTTTTCCCAGGGAATTGCACCACAGCATCCCTTTGTGCTGTACATATTCTAGCCATCTCCTCCTGAAGCTACAGAGCATACTCTGGAACTGCATTTTATTCTTCCAAGAGCTTCTAGTTTAAGTTGAGGACAATGCTTATCTGACTGCGAGGCATTACTGAAGGAGGCCTCTGCGTAGAACCTGAGCTTTGCCTCACTTCACTTCTGGGCATTGAAGCAGTGTTTCCAGGCCTCCAAGGCAAAGACAGTTTCATTTTCCCACTGAAGCAAGGCATTCACATCACTCAACAGCTATTAAAAACACACACACGATACAACACCAACATATCTTGTCACTCACACTATTCATCAGTGCTTAACCTAGAACCCCTTAGGGGAAAAAGAGGAGCTATTTAAAACACCCAGAGGAGTTCAGATTTAGCTCATAAGCATTCAAAGTCTCACACTTTATCCCAGAGGAAAAGCATCCCCACAAAAGCAGGGATGATGGTGTGTGCTATACCCTAGGAGGCTACGTGCCATGACCAAGACACTTAACATCAACTCTTACGTACTGACGAGGAAGAGAACATAGTACAAGGCCACACAAGAGTTGCTATGACCTACCTGAGAGATGAGAGGGATGATAGTCTTCCCTGCATGGCCACCAATAACTGGGACACTTACACGAGCTGGATCTAAACCCTAAGGAAAACATGAAACTTCACTTTCTGAAGCACATGGATAAAAAAGCCATTATACTCATTCTTTACCCTATGTATTTGGGCATATCTGTAAGTCAATGGTAATATACATGATAGAAGTTTCACAGGCAGCTACACTCCAGGAACAAAGCTAAATCAGCACTGTTGAACTCCATGTTATCCTGATGACAAGTTATAAAATACTATTAATGTAAGTTCACGAAAATAACAGCAAAACTACAAACTCCATCAGGGCTACGAGAAGCAGTCATACTATTACACCTCCTAGTACTGTACAACATATTTTAAGACAGCAGAGACTTTGCTTGCAGAGATGCACTACAACGTTCTCTGCTTGCACCATCAGAGTTGAAAACGTCAATAGAATTAATGCAGACATATTGCTCACTTACAGAGGACAGCTATGAAAATGGAAAGCCAAAGTGTCCTGAAGTGAATTTTGCAAGACAGAAATCCTATCCCCAGGTTCAAAGAAAGAATGGAAAGTGGGAACTGTTGCCTTCACCTCCAGCTCTGGAAAAATCTGAGCTATGTCGGCTCTGTCCAGTGATTTAAAAATTATTTTTGATAGATTTGATGACAGAACCATACAGCATCCCTCCTCCAGGATCAGTTATGACCTACCTTTAGCTCAGCCACAAAAGTGTTTGCTCTGACAATGTCCAGCGTTGTAACACCAAAAATTTTGTTGGGATTATACACACCATGCTTCTTGAAGATTTCTGAAGTTATGGGGATGGTTGAATTTACCTGTAAGCAAGAGTAAGCAAGTATTTATTAAAAATATAATAATTAAGCAAATGCATAAACTGCACAAGCTAGTAAACAACTCCAAGTAAACTTCAAGCTTGAAGTCTTCTGTAACCAATCTCTAAATTGAAGAGTAATTTGGAGGCAGGCTGGAATAACTCCTCCATTTGAAATAATCAAGAGAATAACTTGTTCATTCACATTATAAAGGCACCTCTGCTAATGAGCTAAACTATTTCAGCTAACATGCCAATAAGTATAACCACAGTAATCTAGATGTTGATGAAAGTAAGCACTTTTATACCCAGGTTAAATTTAACTTTACTATGGAACAAGGTAAATTGGTAATTAGGACCAAGCTTGAAGGGGTCCTCCCCATCATTGTGCTGCAAACACTCTATAGATCTTGAAGATGACAGTCAAGAAAATACTAATAAATGTCATAACAGGAACCATGTTACTCTAGTACTCCCAGCCTACTCTACCTATTCCAGGTCTCCAGAACACACTTACTGGGTTAGAAATAATACAGATCATGGCTTCTGGACAGTGCTTTGCACAGGCAGACGTCAAATTAGCAACAATGCTCGCATTGGTGTTGAACAGGTCATCACGGGTCATACCTGAAATATATTCAGTTCAATATTTTAAGCTACTCACAGTTCATACATTAGTTGGCAAGCAACTCAGAAAGCAATGCTCTACTCTGGATAGAGATACAACAACTCTGGCTTCTGGTTAACTATATCCAGAAAACTCTCCAGTGGCAGTAAATGAGGTAGCTCTCCTTGTTAATAAGAAATTCCTGCCTTTTCAGATAGAACAGCTCTTTTCAGGAGTGACCACCTCAGGTGTAACTGTCCAGACAGTAACTGTCCTAATTTGATCCTGGCAGCTCGAGGCATCACCTTACTGACCCTTATAATTATCAGTGAGGCTCACAGCAGCAAAGCTGATCCTAGGATGAAACTCCCACTTACCACTGCAGTTGGAACACTAACTGCCCTGTGCAACACAGTAAGTGCTATTGCTCATTTCTGTTGCAGAAACTACTTTATTCACATAAAAATGAGAATTAAGAAGTGATGGGAATAAAATCTATACTTCCTTTGCATTCTCAGTAGGACAGAGTAGGAATGAAATATACCAGAGATGCTAGAAAGGCTTAAGAACATTCAAACAGCCTCAGAAACAGTATCATACAATTAACAAAAAATAAATGGCTTTTTTTTAATTCTGATGAACAAATGAAACAGAGGACCAGTCTCTGAATACAGTTCTGGTTTGTGTAAGAAACTCTAGAGAAGTTACTTACAGCCTCTCTGAAATATCTCTGCATCTCATCCTTACACAAAAACTCCAGAAATTTATTTATTTTAAAGCTAATCAGTTAAGACAGAAGTTAATCCCAGCGCCCAATACCACAAATTCTGGGTCACTAGCAGATCATTTACATCCAAATCAACATCAGGAATGTCTCTGTCCATATGATAGCAGATACAGCCCTATTTAAACAGCAGAGCTGTAGAGAAACACCTCCTAGAAGCCCTGAAACTTTTAACAAGGAGAACGTACCTGGTTTTCTAGGCACTCCTGCAGGAATTACTACAACATTACAGCCCTTCAAACACTCTGGCAACTGCTCAGGCCCCAAGAAACCTGGAAAAGAAGACATCTATGCATTATGATTTTGTCAGGTAAATTTGACAGTTGGAAAAAAAGAAATCAAAATTACAGTTAAAAGCACTCACTTCCTTTTTTTTCCTTTTAGCCTTCAATTCAGACTTATGCTCAAAAGCAAAGCAACAAGCTTAGAGATGGACTCTAACTTATGCTTTGTTGTTATGCATTTCCAACACTACAAGATGAGTGTTGTGAGAACCTCACATTTATCTTTTGTTTTGAAACTACTTAATGTCTGCTATTATGTATACTTTGAGACTCTGCTTTATTACTATTAGTCAAGGACTGAAAAAAAAACTCCATGAAGAAATCTTCCAATTGAATGAGGTAAGAAGATGAAGTTTTCTTTAACTTCATCAGAACTTGTTAACACAGTTCTCTGCACACACGTGGCATAGAGCAGCTCGCAGTACCTTTAACTTGTGCTCTTGTCTCGATGTGACTGAGGTCAGCTGCAACACCCGGAGTGTGCGCGATATCGTAGAGGTTGAGCCTGCTCACCAGCGGGCTGTTCTTCAGGAGAAGGGAAAGGGGCTGCCCAATCCCTCCAGAGGCCCCAAGCACTGCCACCTTAGCATTATTCTGAGGAAAAATAAAAACATATTGGAGACATGTTTTGGTAGCTACTACTCAACTGGCCTTGGGGATTTCAACATGTTTTCTTTGCTTTTAGTTCTATTTCCCAATTTCTTTACCAAGCAGTACATAAATTAGGTTGCCATTTAAGCAGTATAAAGCTATTCCCATGACTGCTTCCCAAAGATCTTTGGTATTTATTGGTAAAAAAATGCTAGAAAGATTTTTTTAAATCATCTGAGCCTCAAAGGGGAAGAAAAAGCAACACACTCCAAAGGATTAACTTCCTTCAGCTGGGGATTGCTGCTTAAGGCTAATACCTACCACTCTGCAGGCCTAGAAGTGATTTAGGGCAATACACACTTCACACTTTCTCGAGTTTTAGCTGCAGTATCAAGATATACGCCATCTCACTTAAACAACTGGTCCTTTGGGATAATTTATAGACAAATAATACATGCACATACATGAAAAAAATTGAGCCTGAAATACATTCCAAATAGCACTCGTAGCTGTTCCAAGATTGAGCATTAAGAGCAAAGAAGCACATAAAATCTACTCTTGCGTTCCACTGGTGAGTCAATTTTATTCTAACATGCTCTCTGGAAGATTATCTCTTGAAAACTTCTATTCTCATGCTTGGAGAAAAGAAGTCCTGCCAAAGGAGAAGCAAGTCACACAAAAAGACTAAAACAGCCTTAAATGTGATGGTTCTGTCAATGCAATCAAGAACCAAAGGCTACTGTGGAAGTGATGTGGAGATGTGACGTGGTAATAGAGTCTCCATTGATAATGATATCTTTAATCACTCTCTTACCAGATAAAGCCATATTTGCCCCAATCACTGCATGTACAGCCTCCTTATCATGCTATGACAGGAAATAAAATAGTTTACCCAGAAGCTTAATCAACTTGACCTTAGTTCAGTTATTTTCCTATTGCAACAACTGTAATTTAGCAAAAATACTCTCCCAGGGAGAGCAGTTACAGGGCCCCACCAGAACAGCTTGCAGGCTTAATAACCCTGTCGCTGTACTTACGGCTGAGCTGAGACCAAGAGCTCCAAATCTCATTAGTAATTACCACAATCTCAAAGTAACCACATGATCCTCGCCCGCCAAGCCTGTCTCTACAGCTGTGACCGTTATTCCGGGGGCTGCCACTGGTAAACTATCTACTTTGGAAGATAAAGAGACCCCATGGCCCCTTTTCGTGTCCCCTAGCGCCAGGGTTCACACGCTAGGGCCTTCAGGGCAGGATCACCGTTTAACCCGCGCCCCTCCAGCCCGCTTCCCGGTTCCGAGGAGCGGCCAGGGGAGCGGGGCACATCCCGGCCATTTCCCCGCGGCTCGGGCCGGGTCAGGGCTGCCCCGCCGCGGAGGGCGCGGGCTCGGCAGCCCCGAGCAGGGCGCCCGGCCGCGGCGCGTACCTGGGCGGTGGTGGCGAGGCCGCGGGCCAGGCCGGTGACGGGACGAGCGAGGCGGGAGAACATGGCGCGGCACCTCCGGTGACTCCAACGACCTCCACGGCAGAGCGCATGCGCGGGCCTGCGCCGCGCGCGCCTCGCGATATTTGAGCCCGCCCGCCTACCCGGGAGCTCTCGCGAGACTTGCGGTAACGTAGCAACGGGTCGGCGCGCGCTGCCATGGCGACGGGCGCGGGCCGCGGCCTGGTCCGGGCCGGCGGGGCCGGGCATGGCGGGACTGCGGCTCTGCGAGCCCACGGAGCTCTACAACATCCTCAACCAGTACGCACGGCTCTGCAGGCTCGCCGAGCCCAACTACCTCTGCTTGCTGGGTGAGGTGGCAGAGCAGCAGACCCGGGGGCTTCCCGCGCACATGGACACCCCAGGGAACCCGGCTTGTGTGTGGCCTCGTAGGACCTCGACCCGACAGACACGGCTCCAAAAACAACAAAAAACAAAACGGATGCCAAATACTGTGATATTAAATGTTTTCAGCGGGTCCCCACGTGTTGAGCCTGAAGTTGGCGGTGTCACCTGGTGTTAGGCCAGTCTGGGATCCCCTCAGGATTGTGCTTCATTAACTACATTTCATAAAGTCGCAGTTTCTAAGAAATAATCTCTGCCTGTTTCTCCTTGGCATTGGTGCCTGAATTCCCATTGACTGAGCTCCGAAGAAGAGTCTACTTTAAAAGTACCAAATAAGCCAACTGTTTTGTCTCGGTTGTTTTTTCAGATGCCCGCACTCAGCGTGAGTTCGATGAGAGCCATATTATTACTGCACGCAAGATTGAACAGGTGAGGGGAGCTTACCATTTGTTCAAGCCATCCCCGGACTTTAGAAGTAAACCAGAACTGGCTTAAAAGGAGAGGGAATTATTCTAGTCTTTCCTCTGCCCGTGTGAAACGTTTCATTTCTACCACTGGGGGGATGTGTTTTAACACAAGAGAAAAAGAAAAGGTGGCCTCAGCAACCCCAAGAATTGGGACATAGAAGCTGAGTATCAGGAAAAATATTGCACAAGGCCTCACATATTGTAGCACTGTCTCACAAAGAACTGTGCTGACATCTTTACCATTGAAGCTGATTAAGCAATCCCGAGCAGTTTACGTAACTGGAGTCTTTCAGAATAAAGTACAAATGTAGTCCCCAAACCCATCCTGTAGCAACAGAGCGGTAACTTGCAGGATGTTTGTAGGGCTGATGCCTCAAGAAAAATGTGGATTTGTTCTCCTGATACAGTTTTGATGTGATTTTGCTAGAGTCCTACAGGCGAGTATCTGGTACCGGATTTGGAGGAGTTGGAGTGTGTCAGATACTGTGTTGTGTATGACGGCGAGACCAGCTCCTTGGATTTCTGTGATAATGAGAAAGAGGAGAGTGAAAAAGGTAGGTCAGATGTCCTGCTTATGACTCATGTCAGTCAAGACCTCATTGAAGGATACTCTTCACATTCCTCATTTACTTTTATGAGCTTATTTGGAAGAGATCCAAATTATGCTCAGTTTTATTTGGGAATACTGTGATATACCTCATTTTTTTTTTTCTTACTGACTGTATTACATATGTTCTTAGGCTTCATAAACACAGGTTTTATTTCAAGGCTTCCTAGTAGGTCCAGTTCCCTACCCTTGCGCTGATCCCCACAAAGTTCTTCAATGCATGTAAAGAAAAGATTTTTTTTTCTTCTCCGTACTCTTATTTCATTGAGATTTGCCCTATCTACTTATTGCCTTTTAGGGGCCAGTGCTTCCTCAGAGATTGAAAATGCTGAGACAAGTTCCCTATATTCACTGAGTGAGTACTTCCTTCTAAAGGTTATTTAAACCTGTCATATTATCATATTTAAAATTGCTGTGAAGGCTGCAGAATTGAAAACTTTTCCATGAACTTGTGCAGTCTTCCTTGAACCATGTAAATATTTGGCTTTCAAACATTCTTTGGCAAGGAATTGTGTTGTATGAAGAACCGCTTATTTTTGTTGGGTTAGGTTGTTCTGAACCTGGCTCCTATCAGCGTTATAAGAACTTTTATAGTTTTATCAAAGTTTTACATCTAGGCCACACCCTGATTTCTGAGGGAAAAACCTGAGAGTATAAGGTGTACAGTTAATGTGTGTTCATAAATGCTGCATGATGAGACATTGTCAAAGCAAGCTATGAAGACTCAGAAGCAGTTTTCCATTGTGCTAATCCTAAAGCAGACGTAGTTCGAGGCACTCTGGATGGATCTTGTGGGAGAATGAGGGGGAGCAACCACCTCTCACATAATTTGCATCACTAAGGATAACGTTTAAAATGGTTGGGAAAAAATGTTTAAACCACCTCCTTCTCTCCCTGTTGTTTAAGGGGCAAAGAAAAGAGTCTCCATAAAAAGTAATATGATTAGATTGAAACTAAGAATACTGCTCTATTATAGGAACTTACTATAAGCATTTCCCAAAGGATAATGGGGAGAAAAAAATTATTTGGACCTACAAAAGAAACTATGAGGAGAATAAAAGATCAAGATGTGAACGCCAGCGTGCCTTATTCTGCAGCAGTGATTAAAGAATAAGTCTAGCAATTAACAAGGCTTTCTACAGACCATTAGATGAAATCCTAAACCCTGTGAAATCAAAAGTAGTTTGCTATCAGTGTCAGTGGCCCAGATTTAACCCCAGATGCTGATGGAGAGACTAAACCAGTCCTGGCAAATAGCTTTTTTATCTCATTAGATGCTGAGGAAGGAACTGCAGTTCGATATGGCAGAGACTTAGAACAGTTCACCCGCCACCCTGTGCTCATCCTGACGGGAGGATACAGGCGTTTTACAGCCTGCTATCATTTTCTGAGGACTCAGAAGTTATTCTGGATGCCTCAGGTGAGATTAGATTTTAATTTCCAAGTAGAAAACAATAGCATTCATATTGCTAATCAAGCATCCATGGCTACTGAATTGAAGTTAAATGGTATTATGAACCTGATACCAGAGTAATTTCAAACACAGGATTTGAATGTACTTGGAGTTACTGTGCTTGCCCTGAGTCACACCACTAGTTCTTTTACAGCTACATTTTGTGTCTTTTCCTCTTTTATTGCATGGAAGAAAAGCTCATGAAAACAAACTGGGAAGCTTTCTCCGACGACATTGAAACTGGCCTATTAGAGAGTATTGATAACTAATGAACAGTCCAGAGTGATTAAAAAAAAAAGCAAGTTCCTCTGTGATCTCTTTATCTGATCTCTATATGTGGTTATCTGAGATATTACAGAAGTAAATATTTTTAGACAGGTTCTGTGTCTATAAAGCTTTTCATCTGCAAGGATCACAAAGCACATATCTTGGTGCCTGTTTCAATGGGCCCAGAAAGAAAACAGCCATCCACTGAAAGCTTGGCATCCTAATAATTTAGTTTTGCCTATAAAAATAATGTATTGAGCTTATTAAAAGCAATTACCCTCATTTTACATCGATGGCAATATAAAAAAAGGGGCATCTTTAAAGGGCAGAGGAGATACCACTGCAGTGTGTCTTTCATATTCATTATTCATAAAACTTCACATCTGGTTCAAATGATATAAAGTCCATGACATGGTGCTATCCCCTGGGATGTTACAATGCAGAAGAAAAAACATTTATTTATTTTTGTGATGGGTTATAAACTGCTAAACTTCTCCATCAGATTCGGTTTGATACAGATTACTTCCTTGCTGCTCAGTTTAGCTCTATTATTCTGCTGTGGCATTAGCTGAGTTTCAGATATGCTTATAGAGGCACAGTTAGCTTCTGTGTGTTGTTTGCTTCTCTTGGCAAATTTACATGCTTTTATTCTTGGCTTTCATGCTGCACAAATCAAAAGTAGCTGTGAACTTGTTTTGGGCCACCACCTCACACCTGCAGCTCTGTCAGGGAACAGATGATTTCCCTGAGGCTTGCAAACTGTAATCAGCAAAATGATTCTGTTACACTGCTGTCCTTCCATGCATTATAAATATCTATATATATATATATATATATTCTGCCTCACGTTTAACAGTTATTTTAAGTAATGCCACACTGGTAGCAGTTCTGTTAATTGTTCTCTACAAATCTAGTAAAGACTCCAGTATTTCAGAATGTTCAGATGATTAAATGACTCATTATACTAAAATGTGTCACGGGCTGCTGACTAAGCTTGTGTTCATTTCTTCACATCAGTTTAAGAAGTTACAAAGCTAATAAGAAAAAATACTTCTAAAGTGAGCCTGTGGTTTTTCCTGCAGGAACTAGACAACTTGAAGCCATACCCAGTAGAGATACTGCCTGCAAAGTTGTATATGGGCAATTTCAAGCAGGCTTGTGATCCGAAAATTCTCAAGGATTTGAAGATCAAAGCCCAAGTCAACATTTCTAAGCAGCCTACAGCACTGTAAGTTAAGCAGCATACTCTCCTCAAGTGTATGTGCACATTTTTGCAAAGTTGCTTCCCTGGTCCTTTAATGCTGTGTTCCCTTTATGTAGCTTTGCGGAAGACAAGCTCCTCCATATATCTGTTGCAGATTCTCCCGATGCAGATCTTTTCTCTCACTTTTCTACCATTTGTCATTTTGTAGGTGAGTTGTTCCTGATCTGAAATTGCTGAGATTTTATTTACCTTCAGATATCAAATGGGAGTGACCACATTTTGCTCAGACAGAAAGCTTGTAATCTCTCAATATCAGCATACTCCCAGGCAAGATGGATCTTTCATCAGCTCCTGAAATAGCACTTGCCACACACCACGGCCCTACTCTTGTATAGATTTAGAACTAAAAGACTACCCAGTAGCCAAAAATATTATAACCAAAATGTACAATAAGAAATGATAACCTGATACAAGCAAGAAAACAATATTTGAAGATGTGTTTTGGGGGTCCTAAATCGTATTTCATGACTAGCATGTGTGGAAACTCAAACAGAACCCAGTTCTATTCCCCGCAGTACTTCAGAAGAAAGTCTCTTTCTCACATTAGTATGTGGAAGCTTCCTAAATAGACTATGAGAGTTTAGCAGCTGTAGCCCTTGTAAAAATGGCAGTCTATAGTAGATTATTTAAACAACATGGTAGCCTATAGTAGATTATTTAAATGGAAGCAATTATGGATGAACACTAGACTGAAGTTCTCCACATATCTGCAGAAGAGAGGAGGTGAGCTCATGGCAGGTACGTGTATGTGCGAGGCTATTTCCACCCACAGAACTTAGAACAGAACTAGAATAACTCAGAAAATTCTACTTTAGTAGAATTTAGTTTGATAGAAACCTACCTCTCAACAACAGTAAAAGAAGTGGCCTTGGCCTAGTTCTAGACTGCAATCGTTAGTATACCTAAACATGTCATGCTGTCACCTCTGGAGAGGGAGGGAAAAAGTTCAAAAGATTATTTGTAAAATACAGAACCTGTGTTTTATATGTGAGTGATGACATCCTCTTAAAGCAAAGTGGTGATTTGTAAAAAGGAATTTGTTAATTTTAGCAATGATGTCTAGCCAATATCCACAACACCGGTATATGCTTTCTGCTGGTGATCCACAGAGGGATAAGGCACGTGAAGTCTAAGTCCCTTCCAGTTCTAGAGCTGATTCCTTCAACTTGAGCACAGAACACTGATAAGACATGGCTGATGCATTGATCAGAAATGTTGGTATCTTTAAACCCATCTGGGAAGAAAGTGGGTGGCTGATTTGATGTTGACCACAGCTGATGAGTAAGCCACTTTCACCACACTTACAAAAGGATGAAACTGATCTGTCTTGAAGCACTGACTGGTCATTATCATTTGATTCTCTTCTTCTCAGCCACTTTTTAGCTCAGTGGGTTTCTAACAAAAGACAAACATTTACAAAACAATGAACTGGCAGTGCCCATCTGTTCCTGTCAGGGTTCATGAATGCACCTGTCCCTCAGGCTAGTAATCTGTCAGCATTCACAGCATCTTTACAATTCTTTTGTTTTGGGGTTTTTTTTGTTTGTTTTTGGTATCACTAATGTGGCATTTCTTTATTCAGATGCTCAGATAAATTATGGAGCAGTGCTGGTGTTCTCTAACCTGGGGATAAGCCGGAGCAGCACAGTAATCATGGCCTATCTTATGCATTCTTCACAATTTACCCTGAAGGTACATCATTTCATAATTCCAACAGATGCTGACTAGGTCTATAGTTTATTTCTGTTCCTTAACAGATATAGGAATAAATTGAGGAATGAATTGATGAGGAATGAGGAATAAATGAGGAATAAATTATCTGTGTCTACTGTCTACGTGATAATGTAATAGATTTTATTCTCTCAGACCGTCCTATTTATACTATTAAAAACAGAATTTGGATCTATGACTCCTTAATATGACATCTGTAATATTCTTGCTTAGCTACAGGGCTACAAAAATAACACAACAGTTTCAGTTTTTAGGAGTTCTGCTTTCCTGGATCTGAGATAGAGACTACTTGGAAGTTACCTGAGTTGATCCCATCTCTTATTACCATGGGGCTGCAGGGAGGTTCATCCTGTAGTACTTACAAAGTTCTGACCTAACCATTTTCTTCAGAAAAGAGTAAAGGGGTTTTTTTTTGCCCCTGGAAGCAATCCCCTCTCAATGATACTACCACAGGAAAATCTGGATTGGGATAGTACTGGACCAAGAGGAATCTACGGTTTAAAGAGCCAGTACATTCTGTTCCATAGCTCTTGAATTACATAAGAAAAGTAACGAAGGCTGCTAATTTCCCAGCTGTGTGCTAGACTGCCTGCTTTTACCAGACCCGAGATCCTTTTTGACTTTGCCCACAACATACCAGCATTGCACTGTTACAGACAACATTTCGCTGTGTTTGCTTGGCACCGACCAGGCTGGTGTTATCTGATGAATGGGAATTGAAAGACGGCTCCTTAAAAATCTTGTCTTTGTTTGGAGAGTGGGTTTTCTCCTGTGGGAGCTTGAAGGCTTTCAACGAAGCTGGGCATACACTTAATCATTTAAACGATTCTGTGCAAGCATTTGCAACATAACAGGAAATTGCCTACCATCAGTGTGCCAAAGGGTAATTTCAGGTTGAATGTGCCAGCAGGGCACTAGATACTATCAGGCCTCCGATACTAATGCTGGGTGTGATTGCTCCTGCAGATTGATAACAATTCCCTTGCTGTTTGCCCCTGCTTGCTAAATTATTGGAGGTGCTTGCTGCTGCAGTGCAAAAGTCAAAGGCTGATCATGGCAGTTTCTCTCAGCTGAGATGACCAATTTGGTCTCGGTATTTCGCCAAGTAGGGGAAAGAAGAAAAAAAGGGATGGGGGGCAAGACCTTAACAGATTCCTGCAGCAACACTGTTGACCGGGCAAAACTTTCCTGGCAGTGGATTGCCCTGGCAGACAAATGTGTTTGTTGCAGACTGAAACACTGCAACAGACTCCTGTCGACTCTTCACCCAGTGTAGGCAAAGATCTTTGAAAGCTTTTAGTGTGGCTCCAGGATTCCCAAAGACATGGATTTTGCAAAAGAAAGGCACGTCTGGGATGTGAAGCCTCTTACTCGATTAGTGTTTGGTATGTTAGTAGATCTACCGAGTTTGGGGGAACTATAGGTCATCTGTGCCTTGGAACAGTAAATATTGGATTATCAGCCTCAGAGCACGCAGAATCACCAAGATTAGCAAAACAAACTAATGGAGCACAATCTTTTAACCTTTGGTCTCATTGCACTTAAGCAATCCTCTGATTGCTGGGGGAAGCTCTGTTTTGTGAGTCAGATGAGCACTGCTTGGTCAACCCCAAGCATATTGGTGGAGCAAAGATGGGCTGATATGAGTGGGCCTGCCACTTTGGTAGCACAGTTCTGGCTAATTACACAAAGCTAATAAATAATGAAGATGGCTTTAACACAGTGGAATAACTGGACAGCTTTCCAGCTGCTCGGCCACATTGGGTCACACTAATCCAGAAATACAATAACCTTTGTTGCTTAGCTGTAGATAGCTGATACTTCAGTGCTTCATTTATCATCCATGGAAAAAATAGTGTTTTGGTGTAGCCTCTGGTGGAAATCCAGGACTGCATCACTCAATCAGTGTAAAATAATGCAAGGCATGGGGCACATAAAGAGAGAGGCTTGAGCTGAGCTTATAAAGATAAAAGGCTTCTCTAAAGTTCTCATCTAGATCTAGACAGTCCCTCTTTTGGTAGCCACGTCCTCATCTAGAGGCTCCTGCTGTCCAACATGAAATACCAAGGAAGTAGCTAAGCAGCTGTGTAGCTCACGTGCAGTGTCTTAGCATAAATACATGAGCTTTGCCTTCAGCTCAAATTCCTAACACTTTCTTCCTTCCTTCTTGTTTACAGGAAGCTTGGGAATACGTTCGGAAATGCAAAACAAACATGAGACCAAACCGTGGCTTTGTGAAACAGCTCTCAGATTGGGAGACCCGCATCTATGGGATCACAATCACAGACATCTCCGAACCAAATTATTGACAGGCAGCAAGGACAACACCCAGCAAGGAACGGTGCTTTCCTATCTGTTCTATAGATCTGATCTATACCTAGAAAGGGACTTGAACTGTGTTTGAAAAACATCTTAACATTATGGAATGGTTTCCATTATCAGCAGGTATCATTTTGGGTCAAGTTGTGGAGACAAAAGGGAAACCCTCTTGTGCTGTTGAAGATGGTGGTTTGGGGAAAGGGAGGCCGGAAGGATGCGGCCCCCTGTGCACTACTTGTCTCTTTCATAAGCTAAGGTGATTATTATAACCACATTATCCACCATGCTCATTAACCCAGCTATGTGGAAATGATCAGAACTAGCTCTGAGAAAGTTTATCAATCCACAGTGAGGGATAGGTATTTGAGAGATGGACTACACCTGACTTCAGATGGAGAAACAGAAATTCCTCATTTCAGAAGTTCCTCCCTTCTGCACCATCTTCTCAGATCCTGGCAGACACTAGGATGCAGGAACAGCTTCTCACAGGCTTGCAGATGGGATTGTATGAGACCAGCCTGCTTAGCGGGACCTCACACATACCTTCTATTTACCTTTCTATCTTCTATTTACCTTTCTAATAGAACATTTTTTTAAAGGGCAGAGAAGTTTGACACCTCTACCCTGTTACATGAAATCTGAATTTCCACTCTTTAAGAACTGTCATTTCTTTGTATTGACACCACAAAATAAAACACTACCAACGATTCTCTGGGGCTCTCATTGCACTCTGTGCTAACGGTGTTTCATTTCAGACCTCCCCAGAACTGAAAGCCCAAAAGGGCTACCTGGGAACAGCATCATTCCGTCCTTACCTTCTCAAACTTCACTGAAGGCTACTGAAAAGTGCAAGCTTGGGGCAGGGGATGCCCAGCCCTCGAACCTCAGCGAGGCGCCTGCAGTGTGACCTGGGCGGGTAGGGAGAGCACTAAGGGCACCCGGGTCCCCCCGGGCCGGTCACTGCCCTTAAAAACCCCGCGGAGGGACCGGCTCAGAGCGGGGATGGCCCCGCCCCCTCGAGGCCCCGCCCCCAAACGGAGCCATAGGACACGCCCCCTCAATGCCCCGCCCCCAGCCCTGTCCCAGGCCCCGCCCCCTTGACGGGGCCTTTGGCGGCGTGGCGCAAGCCCCGCCCCACCCAGGCCTCAGCCCCGCCCCCAGGCCGGGTCTAGGCCCCGCCCCCAGGCCGGGCCTCGGCCCCGCCCCGTGACGCGGCCGTTGGCGGCGGGGCGCGCCCGGAAGCGGCCGGTGAGGCGGCGGCGGCGGCGGCGGCGGCGGCGCAGCGCCCCGCGCGCGGCCCCGGCCATGGCGAGCGGCGCCTCGGCCGCCGACTGCCTGCGCGAGTGGCAGGAGCTGCAGGACGGCTACCAGCGCATCCAGGTGGGCCGCCCGCGCGCCCTGGCCGCGGCAGCCTCCGCGGTTCCGCGGCGCGCGCCGCCCTCCCTGTCACAGCCCGCGCCTCCCGCCGGGGCTGCCCAGGCCGAGCGGGGCCCGGGGGGCTCCCCAGCTCCTCACGGGCCCGGGGCGGCCGCATCTCGGGGGGGCTCCCGCTCCTCTCCGCCGGGAGACGGCGGGAATGCGGGTCCCGGTGCAGCGGGTGGCTGGAGCCCCGCGGGCGCTCGGAGACCCTGCTCGGGGACACGCGGGGGCCGGGAAGGGGCCTGGGCCCCGCCGCGTCGGCGGGGACGGCGCCTCCTGCTTTGTGTAATCCGGGCTGGGGACGTGGGCAGCGAGCAGGGTCACCCGAGGGGAGGGATTGGCCGCCGGTCCCCTCGCCTGGCGCGGCGCGTGAACCGGGAGCCTCCCCCGGGCAGCGAGGGGGCCAAGGGGACGGTGCTGCCGGCGCCAGCGCCCTTGTCTGGGGCAAGGGAGACCCGGAGGGACCCGCCGCGCTCGCGCCATGGGGAGCGCAGCAGGCACGGGGCAGCTCCCGCTCCGGGGCCGGATCCCAAGCACCCGCTCCCGGTTTGGCTCCCTGGGGTCCAGGCTGTGGAGCCTCTAAAGCAGCCGTGGAAGAGCAGCAAGCCCGAGCGCCACTTGCCCTGCGCTCCCGAGGGCAGCAGAAGCAGGTTGGAAGCTTGGATGACTTTGGATGGAAGCAAGGAAGCTTGGCTGTCAAGCAGGGACATCAATCACTGCTGGCCATATCTGGGACCTGTTCCCACTCCGTTGCTCCTGTGCTGCCTGTCTCGGGAGGGAGAACAAGTTGTTTTCCTGCTCTGTGCCTCGCTTTCACCTTTCTCCTTTGGGATCTGCTGATAAAGTGCTCGATAAGCACCAGAGAGGTGAAAACTGCAAACCTCAAGGTCTAGTCCAAGGGTGGTTGTGAGCAGCGCGCTCCGCTCCTCTGCTGGAGGCGCCACCCGGGCCGCTCGTGGTCGCAGCAAGGTTGTTTGCCACTGGCTTTCACAAGAAGGAGTGTTGACGTGGTGTGGTCTCCCCTTTCCTTTCTAAATATAGAGGAAGAATGGCAGCTCGGGTGACCCAGGTGCGGTTGGGTTACGGTGGCACTCGGAGCCCGCCCGTCGACCTGAGCCCTGCTGCCGGTCCTGTTAGTGCTGCCTACCGACAGGCTCCTTCCAGCATCCCACCCAGCACCTAACCGGGGGCTCCGGGGGGATCCTGGATAAAGCACGGCCTCTGGCAGAGAAAGGAGACGCTTCCCATCCCATGCCGGACAGCGGCAGGGAGAGGCACCTCTCTCCATGTCAGCTTGGCCTGGTGTGACCCAAGCCCCAGCTCACCTCACACCAGAGCATTTGGGTTTCTGTCGCGGCCCCTTTGCTGCAGCTGCTGCTTTCCCAGCCATGGGAATGTCCCCAGGACAAGGCTGTGCCTTAAGCCGGGCTTTTACAGGGCGTGAGGGTGGTCGAGTGCCCTGGTCTGTGGGCGCACGGCCGCGTGGCCAGACACTCCTGTCACTCTACAGTGTGCCCAGCTACCCCGGCCACCCACCTGCATTTTCTAACCCTCCTTTCTATTACCCAGCCTGTTGTACACTGGATTACAGGAGCTTTCTGAGGGAGGCATCGCTTTCATACATCCCATTTTCTACCAGGGATGTTTCTGAGCAGCAGCAGAGCAGCCAGCACTGATCTGCCCTGAGCTGGTTGTACTGAGGGGCCTGTCACACTGGGGGCTCAGAGAGGATGGGGTTGGAGCAGACAGACAAGCCTTGTGTCCCCGGGGCCTTCAGGAGTGCTGGCTGTGCAAGGTGGGGCCAGGCACTCTGCAGAAGACCCAAGGGCTGCTGGGCTCATGCAAAGGCCAAAGGCTGCAACGTGTGCCGGTCTCTCATTCCCAGGATAACCACAAGCTGTACAAGCAGAAACTCGAGGAGTTGACCAAGCTCCAGGATGGCATCTCCAGCTCCATCGCACGACAGAAGAAGAGGCTGAAGGAGCTGTCTGTCTCTCTAAAGAAGTAAGTTGATGCCCTGTGACAGCCCCTAGAGCTAGGGTGCCTCAGGAGAGCCGCAAGGACAGAGCTCTGCTATATGTGTTAACGCAGCCTCGCTGGCAGCAGGATCTTCTTGGGGTCTGGAGCTAACCCAGGGCTTCCTTGTGCTTTCGTTTCCTTTGCCTTGACTCACTCTTCAAAGCTTGCAAGGTCTTTATGGTGCTTGAATCAAATTCTCTCCTGCCCAAAGCTCTCTCTGTTGCTATTTGAGGCTGAGGAGACCTGTCTGTCTCCCCTCACTTTGATTTCTGCTTCCTCTCCTTGAAGCAACATCCCAGAGTGACAAGACATCTGCTAGTCCTGCAGACGGAGTTGCAGACTTGTCCCCAGCTCGTCTTTCTTGACCTTGGGGTGCCTTGTCTGAGATGTGGTCATGCTCCAAGTGCCAGCGTGTGCTGCTTTCGTCACGGTGGCTGTCCTCATGCCAGTGCCTGTGTTTTCTCCCCAGATGCAAGGCCCACGTGAGTCCTGAACAGGAGGAATCCATCCAAGAGACTCAGAGCCTCATAAAAGAGAGGCAGAATGTCTTCTTCGAGATGGAGGCCTACCTGCCAAAGAAAAATGGGTAAGAGGTGCCTTATGTCTGGGTCTCCTTCCCGCCTCCGTCTTTTTCTTCGGGTGGGTAGTCAGGACTGCCAGGGTCTTGGGATGCCCCCACGGCTGCCCCCTGTCAGAGCAACTCCTGGGAGAACAGACAGCTGGGAATGAGCTGCTGGCCTTGGAGGGCCAGATCCTAACCTCACTGCTGGAGAAAGCTTTAGTTTCCCTCTGGGGAGGGTGGAAGCTTTGGGGATGTGTAGGACACAGTCCCTGGGTGAAGGTAGCTGCTGAAACACCACTTCTCCCTCCACGTGCCACAGCTGTGATGCTGCAGGGCACAAACCTGCCTGTGCTGCTGCTCTCAGCCGGTGTCACAGCTGTGCTGTGCTCAGCACAGGCTGCCCTGGAGGGTGCCTGGACAGGAGCCAGGCTGATCCCCGGCAGAGCCATCCTTGTCCCCCCTCTTTGGGGCCTGCCTCCAGTCACGCCTGGCACCCCCGGCCTTCATCCGCACTGGGGCTGCGGCTGAGCCCCGATGAACACCCCCACGCCTGCAGGAACGGGGACCGTGCCCTTCCTGCGCGCCCTTGAGTTGAAATGCCAGAGTGCTTGTGCCAGTCACGCTGCCTGGCAGCTCCAAGTGGAAAACAGCTGGGTGTCCTCGGTGTCACTGCAGAGCATCAGCCGTGCTGGGCTGGCCGTCAGCAGCACAATCCACAGGGAAATATGTGGCAGCTCCGTGCCGCGTTCACGGCAGGACCGCTGGGCGCGCGGCCGGCTCCTGGGAGATGCCTGTCCTAGCGCCTCTGCTCTCTCTGCAGGTTGTACTTGAGTCTGGTGCTTGGGAACGTGAACGTCACACTACTCAGCAAACAGGCTAAGTACGGTGCTGTCGTCACTGTGCCACGTGCTTTGAGGTGGTTGGGGATCTCCTTGTCACCAGGAAATAGTAACTCTTCCCAAGCTGAACTGCAGGCACAATGTGTGGCTGCTTGATGTACCTTGCACAGGTCCCTTTTCAGGGCTGTCCAGTTCCTCATTTTCCCTCTCGGAGTCTTCTAACCCACCTAGGATCTAATAAGCCAAATAGGACCCAAGTCACGGCCTCCACACGAACATTCCTTCCCTGTTCCTTTGGCCAGCCACCAAGTTGGCCTGACTGTGGGGTTATGTCAGTGTCTGTAACCTGTGTGAAAGCCAGAGTAGTTTGTTCTCCTCTCAGAAGTGTCCCAGTGAGGAGGGTTTTCCTGAGCATGTTTCAGAGCCCCTTTGCAGACCTTTGTCCAGGCTGATGGGATGGAGGCCTTTGGCCTTTCTCCTAGCTTGTCCTTTTGTTTCCCTGCAGGTTTGCCTATAAAGATGAGTACGAGAAGTTCAAGCTCTACCTCACCATTATCCTGCTCATCTTGTCCTTCTCCTGCCGGTTCCTCCTCAATTCCAGGTGAGTCTGGCTTGGATGCTCTCCCCAAGTGCAGAGATCTCCTCTCAGGGCCTCTGTGTTCTCATCTCTGCTTCAGAACGGCCCAGAGCTTTGGAACGGCTAAAGCTTAAAAGCCGGAGCTGAAGTCAAGATACTGGCAAAGTAACTGGATAATCAGGTCTCACCAGCTCAGCCACTGCCCTTGGAGGGGCAGCAGCCTCCGTGGCTACTGCAGCCTGACGGAGGGTGGTGGTAGATGGTGGGAGAAGCAGCTCTCTGGGCAAAGACCTGTTTGTGGCACCCCCCGGGTGATTAAGGGTGATTAAGTGTCCTCTAATAGTTGTTGACTTGGTGCCTGTGCCCATCAGTTTGCGGGTTGTGGCTCCCGCGCCTCCTTTTCACCCTCTCTTTGTTCCACACCAGGGTGACAGATGCTGTCTTTAACTTCCTCCTGGTGTGGTACTATTGCACTCTCACCATCCGGGAGAGCATCTTGATCAACAATGGATCCAAGTGAGTCCTTCAAGTGCTCTGGGAGGGTGCAGGCAGTGAGTTAGTCCTTCTCAGCAAGGCTGGGGGAGTTCAAACCCATGGTGTAGGCCTACGCTTGCCAAGGGAGCGGCTGCAAGAACCTCCTACTCAGGGTGTGTAGCAAAGCCTGGTTATCGGCTCTGCATGCTGGCCTGGCCCTCACAGGGTGGCTGCTGAGGTGGGAGGGATGGATGAACTCCCTGCCCGGGAGGAGAAGCAGAGGCAAAACTGCCCCAGCTCCTAGGAGCCTCCTGGACTCGAGGCACAGGGAGCCGGAGAGCAGCTGCCAGCGTGGCTGGCTCTCCTGCTTGATGTGTGTTTGTGATCTCTTACCTGTGTCTGCCTTCCAGAATCAAAGGCTGGTGGGTTTTCCATCACTACATCTCCACTTTCCTCTCAGGTGTCATGCTGACTTGGTAAGTCTCTGTGTCCTCATGTCCTGCCTGGATGTCCTAGGCTGCTTTTCTTACCTCTTTTGCAGTTTGAAGGTAGCTCTTGCTTGTAGACTACAAAGTCTACAAGCTTTGCTTCTAGCCTACAAAGGCCAGCTCAGATTAGGCAGCCTTTCTGTAGGTACCCTAATCCATAGCTGTACTGGTGCTTTTTGGACCTGGTTGTCTTTAGAACAAGGTCTTTGTACCTTGGTCCTTTTGGACCTGGACCATCTGCTCTGTACATTCCTCACTAACAAACCACACTAAACAAAACAACTATTGGCACCTTTGCAAGACAGGCAGCACTCAGCTGATCAGGAAACACAGTCCCTTGTGCTGCAGTTCTTGTCCAAGGACTGCTGCAGCTTTTCCTGACTGCTGTGCTGGCAGCCCTTGATCTTCAGGTCCCCAAATCATGCCTGAAACTGGGCACCATCCCTCTGACTTGCTGTAAACACCTCTTGACGAGGCCCTCCATAACCACAGTGGAGCAGATGGGCCACCATGTGGTGCCTGAATTCAGGGAGTCCCATTTTGGTGGGCAGTGGGATGAGCCAGCAGTGCTGCTACCCCAGCCATGGGACAGACAAGGCTGGCAGAGCCTCTTGACTTGGCCTTGCATCTGCTCATCACTGTTGTCTCTCCTCAGGCCAGATGGGGTCATGTACCAAATGTTCAGGAACCAGTTCCTCTCCTTTTCCATGTATCAGAGTAAGTGCTGACCTCTCTGCAACCTGTAGCGCCAACCTTGCTTGCCTCGCTCTAGAGTCAACGTGGAAAAGTGGCTTTAGTTGCCCACAACTCCCTGCTTGTCTGGGTTTTTCCTGGGCCCTCTTCCTGCTCTCTACCTCCATGGGGGTAGGACCATCTTTCTACCCTGAGTCACCCCAGAGGAGGGCTCAGGCTGAGCCTGAGGTGTGGGTCTGGGTCTCGGCACATCCTCAATTCAGCTGCTTTCCCCGCAGGTTTTGTGCAGTTCCTCCAGTACTACTATCAGAGCGGGTGCTTGTATCGGCTCCGAGCGCTGGGCGAGAGGCACAACATGGATCTCACTGTGGGTAAGTCGGGCGGTGCCTCTGCTCCAGGGACTGTGAGCACGTTCCCTCCCAGCACAACACATGGCGCTAAGTTAAAATAGGAGCTCTGGCATCTGTTAAAGGCAGAGGTAACTACCTCCGGATGTGGAATACCTGCAAGAGCTATGGCTCCCTGTATCTGAGTTTCCCCCAGGAAGCTGCTTTACAGATAGGAATCTCTCCTCTGATGCCCTAGATGCTTTTTGTGGGCTGTCCCCTCCTGTCCCCAGCAGCACTGAGGGATGGAGCTGAGCCTGCAGGGCCAGCAGCCCCTGCAGCCCCTCGGGCACATGGCAAATGGTGCCAGGTGAGGCTATCTTTACTAGAGCACCTTCCTTAGGAGGAGTCAGGGCTAGACTATGGAGCCAGGAACATGGCCAGAGGCCACCCCACGCTCCCTGCAGCACAAAACAGCCCCAGAGAGGCCACCTTAGCCTCATCCAGGCACAGCATGGCCACTAAACCTCCCTGCCTCTTCCCTTAGGAGCTGGGCTCTGACTGGTCCCCAGCCCATAGTGTATTTTTAGGTCTCCGTTCAAACCTTTCTTCTTTGCAGAGGGCTTCCAGTCCTGGATGTGGAGGGGCCTCACGTTCCTGCTTCCTTTCCTCTTCTTTGGGCAGGTAAGTGTGAACTGCTCCCTGCAGGTCCCGTAAGGAAGGCCAGAGCTCCAGCTGGGGTCTGAGCCATGCAGCGGTCCCTGCTGTGCATGGCTACCATCAAACTGGGTTCACTGGTTGCTGCAGACTTGTGATACAGATGCTGGAGGCAAGAGAAGTGCTGTGGAAAGAGCAGTCCTCAAATGAGCTTTGTGCACCCACCTGCACAAAACTTGTCTTAGCGAGAAGGGGGAGGCTCTGGGTGCCTCAGCACCGCAGCTCTGCTGCTGCTGGGGTAGCTGAAGTGGTGTGAAACACAACAAAGGGGCTGTCTGCAAGGTCATGTCCAAAACCCCTCTGAATTTGGGCTCCTGAGCTGCTGCTAAAGGTCCAGCTCCTCCGAGTCAGATCATTTAGGCTAATGAACAAAAGCAGTAGGTTGGTCCGTGGCTTTCTCTGGAGTGCTGGGCTGGAATGATCCCCTTGGAAAGCCCTGGATGGGAATTCACTGCGTGCTGGCTTCCTGGAAGAGCTGTGGGGGGTTTACGCCTGGTGCAAGCAGCTGGCTGAACCTTGGGTTAGCTGAGGCAGAGCAGCTTGGAGCTGCTGAAGATGGAAACTCTGTGTGTCTGGTGCAGTTTTGGCAGCTCTACAACGCCGTCACCCTGTTCCGCCTGATGCAGCACCCGGAGTGCAAGGAGTGGCAGGTACGGAGGGACTCGCAGCCTGGGCCCCCCCAGCAGGGCAAGGGCTGCGGCCCCCCCGGCCGACCCGCAACTCTCTGCTCCCACAGGTGTTCATGTGCGGCCTCCCCTTCTTCATCCTCTTCCTGGGGAACTTCTTCACCACCCTCCGTGTTGTCCACCAGAAATTTCAGAACCAGAACAAAGATGCGAAGCAGAAGTGAAGGGAGGCAGCGCGGGGACCAAAAGGATTTCTTCCCCCATCTCCATCTCCCCCTCGTCTTCTTGCCTCGATGCCATCCAGACTCGGGCAGGTCTCGCCCCGTTCCTTCAGAGCAGGCAGGCCTGGACGTGGGACAGCTTGGAGCCTGCTGCTCATCAGCCCGGGTGTTCCCAGCAGGGCTGGAGCCGCGTGCCCGAGCACTCACCTGGAGGCAGGAACATGTGGCACCTCCTGTCCTATCTGCCTCCCTCCTCCAGGATAAACCGGGTGCCTGGGACAGCTGCTTCCCTGCTCTTTGTCCTGAAGGCATCCAGGGGGATGGTTCCCTTTCACAGTCTCCTCTTGGTCCTCGCTCAGCCCTGCAGCACGTAGGTGACAGTGGAGGCAGACGGGGCCTGTTCCTGTCTCAGCAGGTGTGAGCCCTCAGGCTCCCTGGCCTTCCACGGCCTCCAGGCTGGCACTTGGAGCACGGCACCACAGGAGCTCCTCTGCCGACCCCGCCGAGGAGCAGAGGGGGCCGGGGTGGAGGAGCCATCCTGGACAAGCGCTCGGTTGAGGCCTGGCTGCTCCTCCTGCTGCACTGGGGCTGGGAGCAGCAGGAGTCCAGCCCAGGCTTCACTCTGGTCTTGCATCTTGACAGGATGCACACGGGAAAAATAAAGGGAAGGCGGTGCTTCCTTGCTTTGCTGGGCTCCGCATAGCCCTGCGGCCACAGCCCCCCAGGTCCCTGGATCCAAATGAAGGAGGGGAGAGGAGCAGCGTGGGGCAAGGTGCTCCCTAGCAGGGTGCAGGGGAAGGTTTCATGAAGGCCCAGCAGGAGCTTCCCAGCTCCCAGGGGAGCTGCAGCCCTGTGGCGCTCGCTGTGGCCACAGCTTTACACACAGAAGCAGCTGCAGAGCAGGACTGCGCTCCCTGCAGAACCCAGGGGCAGGAGCAGCCCTAGACCTCAGGGAAACTCCTGAAACTGGAAACAAAACCTCTCACTCTAGAGCTGCCTGACCAGCCCCGAGGTTCTGCCTGCGCTGCTCCCCCTGCCCTCACGTGTCCTCTCTGCCCTGGCCGTGCTCAGACCCCGGGCTCAGAGCTGTGCCCAGCAGCCAGCCCCGGGTCCAGCCCCGTCCCCACCTGCAGCCCCGTTTCTCGCTCAGGGCAGGGCAGGTCGTGGAGGTTTCCACAGGCCGGGCAGCTGCCGGCAGCACTTGCTTCGCCCTCTCCCCTCCAGCCACGCAGCAGACGGACAGGAAGGCAGGAAGCAACCTACAGAAACAGTGTTTTTATTCCAAGGGCAAAGTATATTTAAATAATTTACAGTCATTGGATAGCCTGAAAGTTTTTTTTTTTTCCATGATTAAATCACAAAGATGTTAAAATAAAAACTATTTAAAAAATGACCGTACACAGCATGATGGGGACAGCATGGTGACAGGGGAGCTGCCAGCTGCAGGGCCTGGGGAGCGGGCAGGGCCCTGCAGCCCGTGAGCAGATCTCTGCGGGCAGGGACAGGAGCCACCTCCCCTCCGCGCTGGAGCTCGGGGAAGGGAGCGGAGATGCCTGACGGGGCTGGCGGGCCCTGGCTCAAGGACTAGGAACTTGCTCCCTTTCCTGGGAGCAGCAGCTGCTGAGAACAGCAGCCGGAGCTGCCGCGCGGGGCGGTTCTGCGCACTTTAATGAAGCCCCCGGCGCAGCCGGAGCAGCGGCCGACGCTCCGGCCAAGCGGAGCCCTTGGGCACCAGGGCAGGGAGCTGCGGGGCGGCCGCGGAGGGCTCGGAGCTCCAGCCCAGGCACGTGGGAGCTGGTGCTGCCCCGGGCACGGAGCTGGGGGCAGGGCTGCCCGGCCCCTACGCCCCTCACCCGGGGTGAGAAAGGCCACGTGCTCACGGGAAGAGCCCGGGGCTCCTCCAGTGCTCTCTGTTCTTCCTGCCCCCTTCCCCAGCCAGCAGCAGCCTTGTCACTGACCCCACAGAAGGGCTGGGACCATGAGATGCTCCCCTGGGTGCTAAGCACTACCCCAACAGCAGCCTTAGCCACCTCCTGGCCCTCTCAGCCCCTTCTGCCTCCCAGGGGCACAGGCACGTAAGGGACAAGTGCCAGCTGCTCCATCCCCAGCCTGCTCTAGGGGACTGCTGTAGCTGTCAAGCCCAGAGCAGAGGGGATGAGGGTGACACTGGGGTAGCTGTGGGGTGGGGATGATGTGGTCACCCACAGTGGGGTGGCCAAGCAGGCACCTTTCACCTCCCGTGGGCCGGCACCTGAGGCCTGTCCTCTCCCTGGCCCTGCCAGCCCTGCTCTTAGCTCCAGACGTCCAGCGAGTACCGGCCCTTGGTCATCAGTTTCTTTACATAGTCCACGGCCTGGGGCTGGCTCATGTTCCCAAACTCGGCCACGATCTCGTAGAAGGTGTTCTGCACGTCCCGGGCCATGTTGCGGGCGTCCCTGCGAACCAAGGGACCCGTGAGCAAAGAGAGCGGGACGAGGCTCTCGCCCCGATCCCTGCCCTGCCCTGGGGTCACTGCCCCCCGCCCCTGGAGCTGCAAGTGGATCCCAAAGGACTCCAGCCTGCTCCTCACCCAGCAGAGGCAGCCTCGGAGCTCAGGCCACACAGGGTGGCCCAAGCACATCTTGAGGCTGAAGGATCTGTCCTTACAGGCACCGAGCTGGGCACGAGGGGACGTGGGGCTGACAGCAACAGAGAGGCCCGGGACGATGTGGGTGCGCAGACCCACGTACAGGGCTGGCCGGGGCCGCAGGCTCCGCTCCAGGCGCTCCCTTTCAGCGGCCGCCTCCTCCCAGGCGGCTCCCACCCTCCTCAGCGTTTCCCAACCAGCCCTAATTATGCCCAGATAGCACTTGATGCTGGAGTCCGCCCTCCCACTCCCGCCATTCCACCCGGCAGGGCAGGGTTGGGTTTGTCTCTGCCAGGGCACAGGTGGGACTGGATGCCAGGGGCTACGCAAGGACTGCCCCAAAAGGGCCAGCAGAGACGGATGAACATGGGGCTGCTCCCGCTCGCTCAGCGGCGAGGGAGGGACGTGCTCCGGTTACCACAGAGCAGCCAGGCTGGGGCAACACGGGGACAAAGCTCTGGTTGTCTCTGAACAACCACACGCGGATGGTTCGTTCAGCCCAGCCCCATCCCCGTGGCTGCTCTCCATCCCCTGGCCCATGAAGAGCATAATTCTGTAATGCAACTGTGAAGCAAGCGGGTAAACCAGGTCTCACAGTTTCTTTAGAGAACAGGAGCAGCTTACAAATCCCTTTCCTGTTCCTGGACTTACCCACAGACGTAGACATGAGCATTTCCCTCATTAAGCAGCTTCCACACATTTTCCTTGTTCTTCCTCAGTAAGTGCTGAACATAAACCTGGCAGGGAACAGGGTGGATGAGGTGAGAGGGGCAGAGCTTCCAGCACCACTGAGCCCAGCCTTGGGCAAGGGGACAGAAGCCAAATCCAGGCACAAAATTCGCCTTCCCCACATGGCTCCACCAGACAGCGGAGGAACCGGGTGCTCCCAGGCTACTTGGGAACCTTCCCATTACAAGAAAGGCTCCAGGCTGGGAAGTCTCCAAGCCTTTTATTCACCCCAAGAGTGACGCTTAGCAGCATAAGCAACAAAAGAGGGGACTTGAGTGGTACCTTCTCAGCCTGGTCCCTGGAGAAGGCGACATTGAGCTGGGTGAGGAGCCCGTCCTCATGGAAGCGAGCGAGCTCCTCGCGGTACAGGTAGTCCTCATTCTCGTGGCGGCAGCCGTAGTAGAGCACCGTGTCGCCAACCTCTTTGCCTGCAGTGACACAACAGCCATGAGTGTCCCCGCTCCTGTCCTCCTTCTCCTTCTGCCCTCTCCCCCTCTCCTTGCCCCGCAGCAGCGTCGGTCCCGGGGGCAGTTTCTGTGCTCTCACCTTGCTGCTTCAGCCAGGCCCGCTCCTGTATGAAGCCCATGAAGGGGGCGATGCCGGTGCCCGGCCCGATCATGATGACGGGCGTGCTGGGCTTGAAGGGCAGGCGAAACTGCGACTTCCTCACGTACATTGGCACCAGGGACTTGCTCCTGTTCTCATGAGGCACCTTGTTCTTGAGCCAGTTGGTGGCCACCCCCTTGTTCAGGCGTCCCGTCTTGGTCTCGTACTCCACCGTCACGGCACAGATATGGATGGCGTTGGGGTGAACCTACGCAGGAGCAAAATCAGCACGAGGGAGAGCGCGAACCCCAGCTGAGGTACTCGTCAGTCCCTCACTTTCAGCGACAGGGAATTGTTTAACCTAACGTTAACAATTAATCTTCCCCAGCAGATGAAACTTCCAAGCACGCACACAGGTCTCCTGTCTTGTTCCCAAGCTTCCCCAAGCATGGCCAGAGCTTCAGGCCACAAAGTAAAGGACAAATCCCGATCAACTCGTGCACCATCACCTCGCTTCCGAGTCCTGAAAACAAGGTGTATGGCAGAGAACAGCTGGATTGCAGGGAGGACGATGGTATCAGGGCACAGCCTGCTGTGACATGGCACACACCATCTCCCGCTGCAGGTCCCACAGAAGCTGGGATAGCCCCTTCTCATACAGGGAAGAAAGCAGAACTACCCTTCTCCCAGAGAAGGTTTCTAGGAGAAATTCCCAGTGTCCCCAGCTGAGCCCATGCCCCTGTGGGGCTGAAGACAAGGGATTCCCACGAGCAGCAGCCTCCCCCTGGAAGCGAGGCCTTTCCGTGGGCCTGGCAGAGGTTCCCAGCAAGCTCACCTTGGAGGAGGAGGCGATGGAGTAGTAGCGGGCCTGCAGGCGAGGCAGGAGCTCGCACAGGTGGTCGATGGGGGGCCGCAGGGAGGGCATGTCCTGCAGGATGGCCAGGATGTTCCTGCGGGCCTCCACCACCCAGCTGAGGTAGAGAGCCTGCGGGCAAGGAGGGCACACACGTGAGAACGTCCCCGCGTGACTGGCAAATGCTCCCTGCAGCTCTCCGAGCGCGCGGCTCGACAATCCTGGATTCCTTCTGGGAATCCCACAGCACCCAGGCCCATCACCCAGCTCAACCCCACAGCTTTGCCGGGAAAGCTGCAGCTCCCACCTTGCCCTCTGCAGCAGACGAGGCCATTTTGCGGAGCTGCTCCTGCTCGCCGGGCTCCGTGGCGTATTGAGCCAGCTCGTAGAGGACGTTGGTGCGAGGCGGATTGGTGATGTCCAGGTAGTAGGTAAGGGCTGTCCGGTAGGACGTGGGGCAGGGGAAGGGATGTTTCTTATTGGATTCCTCTAGAGGAGGAAGAAAGAGAGAGAAAGTCAGCAACTGCATCTTCTTTTCTTGGAAATTTCATGCCATCAACTACATGCAGGAGAATCTGTGAAAGACAGAGCAGGGAAATGCCTTTGGAGAGGATGGCTGAATTGGCCTGTTGGCCAAAGCCCTGACTACTCAGCCATGCCACATGACAGAAGCATCAGCAGAGGCCAGCTCCCTCTCCAGAGGGCTGCATCTCCCAATAGCCCTTTCCTTTCTGTTTTACACATGTTGTCTGACAGGTTATCAGCAAAAAAAATACAGGATGTTCCCCGACGGGGGGATCTCTGCCCAAGATAGGCATGCATGCTGCAAACAGTAAGGGCTCAGGTCATCATCCTCCTTTTTACAAGGCTGGCAACAGACATTCAGGCTAGGGCAGCGATACTGCAGCTCATCCAAAAACACAGGAGTTAAGAACAGAACTGCCTGCACATCACAGTCTTTCCACTGACATGTCTTGCTCCAAGGCTGTCAGCTCCATGCACTGCAATGCCCCGTTTTTTTTTTTCTTCCCGGCTTCCAGAGAAAGTCACGCTGCTCAGAGACACTTTGGGAAGGTGATCCAGAAGGCAGGGCCTAGAAGATAGCATATCTTGGACCCTGAAGTTCAGGCAGAGAGAGGGAACAAGTTTCTAGAGAGAGCTCTTGGCACAGAGGCACCCAGCAAACTCCCAGGACAAGCAAGGACACAGTTCTGGATGGCTATTTTGGCCTCAGACTCTTAAGCTTTCTGGCCTCCAGTGCCCTTTGCCTCCTTTAGCCATTGACACTTGCGCTCATAGTGTTCTTGCGAAGGATAAATGTCAGCAATCAAAACCTCAAGCCACTCAGTTTAGCAATCACGATGCACAGGAATGAGCATGCAAAGGCAGACAGTCTGCGACACTGCACAGGGGTCTGCAGACTCCAACACTGCATTAACACCAAGGAGTTCTCTCCAGAAACAAGCGCTCAGCTCTCCAGCTAACAGGCCTCTCCTGTCTCTGGTTGGGCATCACTCTTCCCATACGGCAACGAGATGGCAGTTGCCCTCTCCCTCCCATGCTAGGAATGTCATTCAAGAAAAGCTCTTTGTCCAAGAGAGAAAGAAAATTAGCAATTGCATCCTGTTATGGCAGAGATTTCTTGGACAATATCTCAGGGATATCATCCAAGAAAGACACTGAAAAATTCTCTATCCTGGCAGTTCAACCCAGCAGTGGGCTGAACAACAACACACCGGTGCCTAGTCAAGGGACCGAGTAACAGTGTCTGAAAGGAAGGTCTCTGCTGAGCTCGAGGTTGCTGTGGCAAAGGGGAGAGCTGGCGGGCTGGTGCTCTGTAATGACGCAAGTGTCGTTACATAATTTGCTGTTGAATACACAGACCAGGCAAGTTTCACAAGTGACCCACTTCAGCTGGTTCTCAGCAAGTAGGCTCCGTGTCAATGCTGCTAACGTGGCCTCAAATTCACTGTTGCTGAGAAATTTCTTTGACCGGAGACGCCCTATGAGGTCTGACTCCTCCACTGGTGTTAAAAGCAGCTGCCATGACTGAAGGAGAACTGATGATGCTTAGAAGTGATCCATTCTACTCACCATCCAAATTATTTAGGGACATGATTGTATCCAGATCGGTCTGCAGAATCTCGCCAATCTGGTTCACCAGCGAGGAGTCGTTGGCTGGGTACACAGCCACGTGGTCCCCAGACTCATACCTGGCATGAGAGCAAGGAGAGGACTGAAACGCCAGAGCACTTCTCACCCACATCAAGCCCCATCTGTCCAGCTAGACAAGTGGGTTGTACAACAGACAGCTGAGATGTGACCTGCTGCACAGCTCCTGCAGAAGCAGGGACCCCAGAGAGCAGGCAGATGGAACAGGAAAGAATTGCTGTGGAATTATAGTTTCCGAGATGCAGGTCATTCACAGGGAAGCTCTGAAGTAAAGCCAGTTTTGCCAGAGACTTCAATGACACTAAATGTCCTGCAGGAAGAGGCCAAGTCTCCAGCTAACAAGTGTCAAAAATCTCTGCCCAAAACCTCTTCAGTAATTGCCTTTATTGACCAACCTAGGCTAATGGCTTTCTCACAATCATGCCCAAAGGTTTACACCAGCAAGAGGTTTTTAAAGAACACCCTTCACTGTTCCCCCACACCCAGTACAGCCAGGCCAGGCAAATCCAAACATGAACCACCACTGATTCTCCCCTCTTTCACAGTATCTCTGCTACTCCTGCTCTCAGACAGCTCCTAGAGAATTCCTGCTGCTGGGACTGCTCAAATACGACAAATAGGTGCACCTGGCCCTGGAGAGGCGCAGGGCAGATAACTGGTATTTCCATGCACATCCCAAGAACTGGGAGAAAGCCCCAATATGCAGTATAGCAGCCTAGAGTGGCGGCAGCAGTAGGGAACTATGAGAACTAGGTCTCCTTAGAAGTGTTCAACGAGGCCAGTGCCACATCCCTGCTCTTGCTTTCTTGTGCAGCCTGCCTCCTCTGGAAAAAAAATGGTCTGGTCTGTTTTAGGAAAATACCTGATTTTGGAATTGGAGATATCCAGCTCCAGGTGCATGAGGTGTCGCTCTCCACCCTTGTTCAGCTTGCGGTTCACCGTGACTGGGGCCAGGAAAGGATTCTTGGCATCGAATGGGCTGCAAAGACAAGGATTTGGGGACTGGGGTTACTCTCTTGCAGGGTCACAGAGAGCTGCTTTTATCCGGGCACACTCCCCCTGTCACCAGGGCAGGCCCATACAATTTGGCCACAGTGTCCTCATGATAACGTTTCAAAATCCACCTAAGCGGAATCTGAATCCTGAGCCTAGCAGAAAAACAAGTATTTTGCTTCTAAGCACAGCCCTGCAGCTGACAGCTTCTGCCCCATTAAGAACAAGAGATGCAATAGTCAGAGGGAATATCACATCTCAAAACAATATTTCAGGATGCAGCTATTTACATAATCAGTATCCTCACTGCCAGGCCACAAGCAGTCATGTTAGGCACCTCTGGAGGAGAAAATCTGCGACTGACCTTAAGAAACAGACCCTGCAACTAAAATCTTACCAGCCCAACAGGGAGAATGAGGCCACTGAGGCCCTGAAAGGGAGAAGCAATCAGTCCCCCTCCCACCAATCCTAATGTGAAGGGATTAAAATAAGTCTGCAAAACAACACATGTGAACACAGCTGCCTTCCCAGCACTAATGATTTATTAATTGGGGATCCCCTGGGAGGCCTTGAGGGGATGTGAACCCCTCCTCTGGGGCAAGTGGTAACTGTTAGATGTCTATCTGCTTTATACAAACAACACTGACCACACATCATGTGTCATTAGAAGCATCAAGGACCCCAATGCCCAAAGACCGGCCCGGAGACGCGCTGCCCAGGGCCGCCGGGTACTTACGGCTTCTGGTTCTCATAGCTCTTGAGCCGGCCCATCTCGCCAGTGTAGACCTTGCTCATGTTCACATCTGTGTGCACCACCAGCTCGTACTGGCGGATGCTGGAAAGTCAGCAGAAAAGGAGAGAGAAAAACGTCAAACCACAAACCACAAGTAGGAATCATCACCTGCTCTGCTCTATTTGCTACAGCAAATACCACAGTACTCCCTTCACCCCTCCCTAGGGATATAAGGGTACTCCTAAGTACTAGGGAACAGATTAGAGAGCCCAGAGATGACAAAGTCCAAAACATGAGAAACCACCTGCTTTGCTGGGAGCACTGCTACCCAGCAGAACACAGGAACTAAACCCAACACACTGCCCGTTCAGGACATGAATCCAGAGCTGTATTCAAACTTGCACCAGGACAAACTTAGGCCAAACAGCCCTGCTCACTGATCCACTCCATGTGTGCCTCTCAAGGCTGGAAGGGGAAGCAGCACAGAGGAGAGGGGACAGCAGTTCAGTGCTCATGGACGGCTGCTGGTCAAGGGTGGCTGATCTGATCTCTGCCCCCAGGAGAATCCACCCCACACTGACCTGGACTCTTCTCCTGTAGCCTCCACTCCAAAGTGCTCACACACTGCTGGCCAGAACTGCTCTCGCCAGGTAATGAAGTCTTCTTCCAGGCTATTCAGGACAAGAGAGAGATTCAATAATCAGGGAGAAAAAAAAAGGGGTTTTCCCAGTGGAACAACAAGATCCCTAGAGACTTCCACCTTTAATGTGGTATTTGCCCTTGTACGTTGTGTGGGTAGTTTTGGTACTTCCATATGCCCATGGATCACCAGGAGAACACCTTCAGATCATTAAGAGGACAGGAAGGAACTGCTGCTACAGCAGCCACCTTTTGCTCCACCAGGTCTGCCAAGTAAGGCTTGGTTATTAAGACTTCGTTTTCACCCAGCTCAGCTCCCTGCTGTCCACTCCTGGCACCATCTGCAGCCACTTCTCTAAAACAGAGGCTCAGCCTGGCAAAGCTTATGTTCCCGCGCACAGAGCCTCCCACAAAAAACACACCACTATCTTGCAGCCTTTGGCTGCAAAACCACAGGCGAATGTAATTTCCGAGGTTGAGCTGGTACCAGCTGGTACCAGCTCAGCTTTGCTGAGCACGTAACTGCAATCATTGAAAGCAAATTGGGATTGCCCCAGATTCAAGATTCCCCATAACACTCTGGATGCACGACAGATCTGGTAGTCTTTGTGGGAGCAAGAGCAAGCAGAGGCATCCTCAGAGACACATCCGCACTCTATGGAGTTTACACCTGCCTTAGTTCAAGTAGCAGAGCCAAATCCCTGCCAATGGCCCTTCAACATTAGCCAACTGGACCATCCCTTCAAGCTACTCACTTGCCATCATCATCTCCCTGCCCAAGTTCAAAGATGCGCTGAGCTCCTAGCTCCTCCAGTCTCTTGTCCACGTACTTTCCCATGGCATTGAAGTGCTCGTAAGTCTTGTTCCCCAGCCCAAACACCTGGAAGAAAACATTAACCAATGTGGATAACTGGGGATTGGGCTTCTCCCCTCCTCTAGTCAGTAGCACGTAGCAAAAGATTCTGAAGAAAGAGCCTGCAATAGATGGAATAAAATTCCCCTGATCCCCATCAGTGATTTGGGAAGTTCTTTGGCAAGAACTCACTACTGAGTTTGCACAAGAGTTCCAAGACAGTGTCTAGTCACTACCACCACCTCCCACAAGGTAAAGCTCATGCATATCATGCATATCAACAAGATGCACATACAAGAATTGCCTGCACTGTCTCTCCTAAGAACCAAAAGCACCTGGATTTCCTGGACACCAGTTGCTGACCCTTCCCACCCACAAACCGCTCAACAAATATTTGCTGCTTGCATTAGAGCGAGCAGCTCAGCATCTCCAGCACTGGGTTTTCTCCTCATTTGCAATTGTGATGCTGCCTAAGGAATTTGGCTGGGGTTTAGGTGAGGTAGCTGTATCTCAGCCAATTATTCAATTCAGTTCAGTACAGAAAAAGAGCTGCACGCTCCAAGGGATTTAATTTGTGGAAGATCTGGCCAAGGGCTGCTCAATTAGCTTGTGAACAGCAGCAGCAGCCTGTAACTCATTTACAGACCTCACATTCAAAGCCTGCGGGGCTGTCTGTGGCAAAATAACACCAGCAAACCCTTATGATTTAGGGCACGGAGAGAGCTCTCCAGCAGCTGTACTTAAAGCCCCCAGACACGTTTGCAAACATCCAGGCTTGTACAGGAAGACAACAGGGATTGTATCCAACACAGGCATACAAGGCGCGCACACCACTTTGGACCTTTACCCAAGTCGCACTGAAGTGGCTGGAAGGCTTTGACTTTCCTGCCCAAACGCAGCACAAGCCAGAGTCAAACGGCTTACCGCAAACCGGAGACCTGACAAGTCAGCGTCCGTCTCCTGCAGCCAGTCGTAGAAGTCTTGGGCATTGTCCGTAGGATCTCCCTCACCGTACGTGGCCATGCAGAACACTGCTAAAGACTTGTCGATCTCAGATAGGCGACTCAGGTCGGACTGGAATCAGAGCAAAGAATAAACCCTCAGGGATCCCAGAACATGGTTATCAAGCAAGCCTGATCCCACACCACTGTTGTGTGGAAGAGCACTGCATAACATCAAACGGACGATTATAAAAGGCAGTGGGAAAGGCCCAACCCACCTGAAATGGCAAGAGAAACAAAGCTAAACATCCTCTCCAAACTGCGAGAAAAAGCCATGGGATTTTCCAGCACGCTTTAAGGGACCAGAAACAGTGTTTATTCCATAAAACACCATGACAGAGTTTGTCAGTGCCTCTATGTAAGGTGATTGCAGTGGTCTGAGACCAGTTCTAATTGGAGAAGGAATATGGAGCAAGCAGCAAGCTACCAGCAGATGACTTGTGATTCCCAAACACCTGAGACTACTCTCTTTTCCAGTTGCATTGCAACGCTCACCTCAAATCCATAACCTGGCAAGGGCTTAGCCCATCTCTGTGGGTCTCAAACTGATCCAATTTCCTCCAGAGTTTCACTCCAGAGTATCCCGGAGGATATTCCTTCTGCACTACTACTACTCTGGAGGAATAGTGAAACTCTGGTATCCCAGAGCATAATCCTTGACCAGACTAATTTGTTTTTTATAGGGGACACTAAATGGATATTGCTTATCCCAAGGACACATTCACAGCTAATTTACCAAGTCATACTCCTCTGGATCAGCTGCCATGCCCCGGAGGCCATAACGATGAGCATCTTTGGAGAGGCGATTGGCAAACTCCTCTGCTGTACCCGTTTGGGAACCGTAGAAAACCACGATGTTTCGTCCCTGGTTAAAAGAAGAAATCTCTGTTAAGTGGCGATTACTCATTTAGTAGAAAGACCTGGAGGAAGCGCATCATGTCAAAAGAAATGCCTGGGATCAGGAGGCATGAGCTGCAACTCAGCCCTCGCTTCTTCCTCTGCTTTATATCCAGCTCAGCAGAGTCACAGGCTACTTTTCTGCATACAATTCCCATTCCAGAGTAAGCATTTGGGAATCAAATACAGGTAAGAGCCACCAGCTGAAGTCTTTAAAGTCTCTACCATTTTGCTCCTGACTTGGAGGTCGTATTACACATTCTCACCACAGCCTCCCTCTGTCGTTTACATTTTAAGAACAACTTTCAGGCACAGTCTGCTGAAAGCTCTTTGCTCAGGTCGCCTCCATGTGCAAGCAGCTCCCTCCTGCTAAGAGCTAGATGGTCACCAGAGGCAACCGGGAAGGCCAAGAGGTCCAGCAGCCACGTCAGCCTCTCGGAGCGGGATGCTTACCGTCTTCTTCATCTTCTCAATGAAGCTGCTGTCTCTCACTGGAGATGCTCTGCAAGACAAGAGGAACCTCCTTTCAGGTGAATACGTTCATTCACAGGAACAGGCAAGGGGTGAAAAAGTGACTACCCAAAATGTATCAGATCTCAAGAATGCTGCCTGAAGTGGTGAGAAAGTCCATTAAATGCAGGCAAGTTTACCCCGTTCTAACAGGCTCTCAGAGACCTAGAAAACAAAACCACCCTACAAGAGTAAATCTCAGTTCTTGACGAGGAAGAGCTTGAAGACACAATTATACAAATAAACCCCACTGCCATCAGCCTTTTAGTAGGTCACAGTGCACCTTCCCACTGGCATTTTGGGAGGGCTGCTCTTGAAGGCAGATGGAGCTTAAAGAAAGAGAAACCAGCCGCTTAAAACAGAGCATCCCAGCATCTGCCAGACAAAAATCCTGGAGCGCCGCAGGGAGCAGACGGACACATGGAGACCCTCTGTGGTCCATCAGAGCTGCAGTCTCTGGCGGGGGGACTGCTGCCCTCTGGGGCTTGCAGGCCTCGTTCCCACACTGGAATTTCTGCTCCACCGAGCTTCTCTGGCACAAAGCACGTTGCGTTACGGCATGGAGGCGGCTTTTGCTAGCTGAAAAGAGGAATAAGCCACAGCAGGGTCAAACCCATCCACAGATTCACATGATTTCAGCTACTCCATTAAGTAGAGAGCCAAGGGAATTAAGAGCTTAATTACCCTAAGCACACTCATGGTATTTTAGCGTCAGGCTGCAAAAGCGACTGAGCCCTGGCAGGGATCAGGGGCAGCACAGGACCCTCCAGAGGCAGAGGTGGCTCCAGCTACAGTCAGACCAGACGCTGGGGTCTCCTCAAGCAAGGAAGACAAGCGTCAGGAGCTCCCTTGCTCTCTTCCCCACTGGAGCTTCAGTAGCAGAGGAACGTGGGATCTATTCCCATTTCTCTTTCACAATGGAAGAACGCAAAGCTGCGTCTCCTGTGGGAAGAGAGAAGCCTCTAGGCAAAAAGAAATTAAAAAAATGTAAGAAGAAACAACAAATGGTTTTGGCTCTGGCCCACACAAGAATGTGCAGAGCTCACTAACAATTTCCTAAACTCTGCAGCCCAGAGGGAGGGATTTCTGAGGATGTGCCGAGACATTTGCAGAGCCCACAGACAGAGGAGGAAGGCAGGGGACAGTCAGCAAGACATCTCTTCAAGCACCCCTTTCTACCCAGACGTAACAAGGAGCTCCACAACTAAGCCCGACAGCTCTGAGCACCCGCAGTACACCACGAATTTGCAGGGAAGAGCTCCCCAAAAGGCGTCCCAAGGAAGATGTGCTCTCAGGAAGGAGCTGCTTTGTGCCCCCTTGTTAACAGCCTCCCGGGGGTGGGATCCACCCTGTACCAGGAACACCACCAGCAGCTTTCAGGGAGCAGCCCTCGCCCTGCCCATGCTACCACCCAAACAGGGGCCTGGGCTCACCAGAGCAAGCTCGCGCTTAGTTTTGCCCCCATGGTAAACCCATTTCACAGCCCTCTGCTAATTATATCCAATTAAAACAGCTGTGGGGTCACTTGATGAAAAAAAATGTTTAAACTGAGAGAAAAAAAAAAAATCAGTTTCGAGCCTTTCAACAAGCTCCTTTCAAAAGGGAAATCATGCAGATGGAGTCAGTCTGCATTTTCAAATTAAGCAACGTAGCATTACAATGCTGAGGCAAAGAAGAGCCCATGGCTCGCACAGCAGAAATAATGAGTCTGCCTTCAGAAAAGGAGGAGGGGAAAAAAAGAAAAAAAGCTGCACAACTCCCTGAAACTCCTTTGTCAGGATGGCTCCTTGCGAGACTAAGCTGCAAGCAGGCAGGTGCTGAAGAGGGGGGTGACACAAGCACTGCTTTCGACGGGGGCAGCTCGCACAGCCTGGCGAGCGCAGGCAATACGGGACGGGGAGCAGCAGGTGGAACGGTGGGGGTACCCCCACTGCTGAACCTGGCCTGTGGCTTGCACTGACGGCCCGTCCCTGGTGCTGGAGCCAAGAGTCTTGGGGCTCTCGTATTTGGGGAGGAGAAGCAGCTTGGCAGGCTGATCAACGGCTCCGCCGCAGGGAGCGCATTTGGAGCGCTCCCCAAGGCACGCGTGCATCCCAAGCGAGCAGCGAGCCTGGGTGCTGCTCATACCCTGCTGCACCCGCAGCCCCGCTGCGCCTCTCCCCACTGCTCCTGCCCCTGCACCCCGCGGCGGCTCGCCCGGCAGCTCCCTGTGCCGCTCGGGCGGGTAACTCACCTGGCCACGGCCGCCTCGTCGCGCGGAGCCGAGGACGCGCAGCCCATGGCGCGGGACGGGCAAGCGCAAACAAAGAGCGCCGGGGCCGGGGGGAAGGATCCAACTTAGCTCTGCGGAAACCCGCGCATGGGCCTTTCCATTCGGCTCCTCGTGGGCATCAAAGCCAAACGGCAGCCTTTTGTTAAGGAGCGGGGCGCCTGCACAAAAGGTCCTGGCACGGGTCATAGCAGGAGCGGGCCGGACCGCTCGGATCCCCGGCTCGAGGCCTCGGGAGTCCCCGGGCGCCTCCGCGCAGCCCCGCGACGCGGCAACATCTGGCAGCGGTGGCAGAAAGGAATTGGGAGTCAAGAATGGAACCTCCCAGGATTCCCCGCAGCTTCCCGCTCCCACGGCGTGGAAAAGCGGGGGACGGGACACAAAACCCTCCCCCATCCTCGTCACCTTGGCAACTGTTTATATCACAGCTGCTTTTATATATATTCCTGTTTGTGAAAAGGAAAATAAGTAAATCGCGTAGCTGAATGAAACGGTTCCAGACGCTGCGTGAGCAACATTAAGGGTAACTGGCAGTGCCGCTACGGAGGCGGCTTAAAGGAGTTTGTTCTCTTCAGGATCCTATTAAATTAAATTAGAGATGGTCTCTCCCTCTCCAGCACACAGAGGCAGCACGGAGAGCTAATCAGGCTAAGAAGCTGGAGCGATTCCTGCAACAGGAAGCCCTATAGGCACCAGGGAGCGAATTTCTCTGGAGCTGCAGGAGAGAGATAAGCCAATTTCTGCCCCAAACAATGTTGTAGACGGAGGGAAGGGAGGAGTAGGCACCGAACGCACCAAGCTGTCTCACCAGGTCTCCCAAGGGGAACCGTCTGCCTAACTCCAGAGCAGGGACGTGAGAATGAAACCCGTGATTGAGAAACAGGAGGCAGCAGAGATGAAGAAGACAAACAATTAGCGCATTCCCCGGCACCGCCACCAAGAGGAAAGCGCAGTCGCCCCAGCCCAGCTGCACAGAGATCAAGAGCCTTTCCCTGTAACTCCATCTGCGGCGCAGGCTGCCGCGGAGCGCCCCAGTGGTTTCAATTAAGTCTGAAAACGGTCAAAATGCAAGTGATCTTCAGGCGGTGGGATCCCGGCCAGCCCCAGGCGCAGATACACGGCGCTGACAGAGGTTTGTGGCATCCTGAATGCTTGAGGCCTTTAAATACGTGAATTCTGCCCAGGCTCTCAAGGCTTCAGGCGGGAAAAGAGCTCCGTTTCTCTGCAAAGTCAAGCGCTCCACAAGGGTCTGAGCTGTAGCTACAGCTGAAGATGCGTTGCTGGGGTAAAAGAGGGCCCTCCCCAGGCCGCAAGGCTGAAGGGAGCCACGCACGAGGAATCCAACCCAGATGCCATCCAGAACACGCTCTCCCACCGGGCAGCATTTCTTCTGTAGGCAGCAGCAGTGGCGGCGGCAGCTCCTTCTCTGGATACACCACGGAGCTCCTCGGCCGCTGGGCTGCGCGGGGCACCGGGCTCCGTCCTGGTGCTCAGATCCGAGAGCCTGTTCACATTCCCCCGTTTGTAGCACGCCCATTACAGAAAGTGGCCGCATCCAGATTGCTTTTCATGACTTTCCTCCCGTGATCTTTCACGGCCGAGCTTGAAATCAAGAACTGGAGTGCATCGCCCACTAGAAAATGTAATTCAGGACAGTTTGAGTCGAGGCAGAGCAGCAGAGAAAGCGATGAAGAAAAGGAACGTCTCTTAAGATCCAGGCTCTCTGCCTCCACAGCCCGGGTGTCCTGTGTTTTCTGAGCCAGCTTCCCTGCCCTGCACACGAACCTGGCCCTGTCTCCCCAGGAAATGTCTCTCTCTGGCCGGCCCAGGGCACTGCAGACAGTGTGACCCTGCATCTTGCTCATTCAGGGCATCTTCTTGTTTACCAGCACGGAAATTCCACCCCAGATTCAAGGGCAGCATCTGGATTTCCTTCCCTCCTGCTGAGCAGCCTTATTTTACCCGCTCACTTCCCTTCCAACTCCAAGTATCTCATAAAGCAATTCTGCAAAACCTGCAGGAAGCTGCTGTCTCCATCCCTGAGGGCAAATACACTGCCAGCCACAGCACTGGCTTACAGGACCATGCTGCCTGTACTGCAATGACCAGAGCGGTGCTGCAACAGCAGGGTCAGATTTATTGCATGAGAAAAACACACACCAGGCTTCCCCTTCCCTCTTCATTTGTCATTTGAAATGAACCACTCTCATTTCTTCAAAACACAGTATGGCACACGCCAAGTCTGCAGCAACCTCGACTTTCCCACATGGTTATCAGCTTCACAAGGTGCTGTCCCTCCTCAGTGCCCTGAATGCATTTCGACTTCAGCCAGTGCTCTCTGACATCCATCTCCCAAGCAGACACAGGAGGCCACGAGACCCCACTGGGGACTAACGCACAGCACAGACAGAGCTCACAAAGCCCAGGAGAAGGCTCAAAGCCAAAAGCATCGGCTGCATCCTCAGGCAGAAGTCTTGCAGCGGGACCTCGGGTTGTGGGCAAGGCAGCAACAAGCACCTGTGAGGGATGGCCAAGCCTGATCGCTCTGCAATGCCACAGCAGTCTCTGGAAGAGCTATGTGTAATTTGGGATGGGGGCATCACAAGAACCACGAGCACAGGAGCTCTCCGGGACAATCTGTTCTGGGTGGATCTAATTTCAGGTTGCTGGTCCTGTTTCTCCAGCCAACTTCACCTCTCATCACAACATGAGATGAGAGGCAGGCACAAGAGGGAGACTGATTGAATCAACAATTTAAATTCCCAAGATAAGACAGAGAAGAAGGAATGAACAGCCAGTCAGGCCTCTATCAGCTTCACATACACCTGCCTGGGCACAGGAACTCTGCCACGGGATACCACAGCCAGGGACATTTCTTCCCTTTAAACAACTCCCAGCCAGAAAAAGAAGTACTTTCTGTCCTCCTGCAATACCAGTGCGTACAGCCAAGTTCACAGCAGGCTGTTTGCACTGATCCATGTGCTACTCTCACCTTTACCGGAGGATTTCACAACAGATCCGGGATCCCAGTCTGGCCTTTGAGCAGACGGCTCTGCCCAATTGTCAGAGTTGGCCTGATCAATGCAGACAAGAGGACACCCAACCCGGTCCTTCTCAATTATGATCCACAAGACAACACCAGAGGATGAGCCTTGATAAGTGAAAGCTCACTACGGGAGATACGGAAGTCTGAGAAGAGATAAGGGACTCACAGCCACTTGCTGTGTTTGATTTAACTTGATTTTACACACAAGGTAACAGAACTGAGGCTCCCTGGCACGTGACCAGGCGTCCTTATCTGACCGGCCTATGAACATTTCCTGCCACAGCTTCTTTCCATGCTGTGCTGTAACCCTTGCTCTCTTGAGTAAGCTCTTTGCCAAGACGTACTTCTGCTCAGCCCTTCGTTTCAGAGTGGCACCCGCTGCGAAGCCATGTGGAGAAAGGCAGTTCCTGCACACTGCCTTGCACGGGCAACAGCACGTGAAGTCTGGAACACGACGTGAGGAGCCAGATGTAATTTCTCCCTTTTGTTTCATCTCTACATTGCAGAGTCAAGCAAATTCTCTCAGGACAGTGGGGACCCAAGAAGAATTTGCACCCTGTGTTACAAATACGGGGCAGTTACCTACCCTGAAGGTCTGACGCTGCAAGCACAAGCAGCCAGACTAATGCTGAAGCAGTCAGGCACCCGGCTGGCCTTCAATCTGGAGGAAGTTTCATCTGCACAGGGAACAGATCCCAAAATGCTGGCAGGAGAGAGAATGCGCAAAGCCACCTCTCAAGGTCTCCCCTTAAGGGAGTTTCAAGCTTTAGTTTATTGCCCTTATCAAGACAAGGCAATTTACTACATCTTTGCTACAAAGTGCTCCTAAAAAAGACACAGCAGAAAACTGCTAGGAAGTTTGGTACCTGGGTGAGACAAGGAACTGAGCACACCTAAATCTCCACCAACGCTGCTCGTTCCTGGCCCTAATCATTTTGCAGAAGACAGGGTGCAAACAAGGCCCCTCTCATCACCAAATTCAACCTCCTGCTGCTACAGCGACCCGGCCTCAAAGTCGAGCATGTTTCACAAGAACTGCTAAGCTGGAAGGAACTATCTTCTAGCTCCCAAAACACTATTTTTTCTTTTCATAGATAAGTGTACATAAGACTGATAAATGAGAAAACTGCTTAAAAGTAAAACTACCTTTCTCCAGGTTTATTTAATATGACTTATCAGAAACGTTAACAAAAACCACAAAAACAATCCCTAAGCACTTTGCAGTATAGATGGGGGCTTTTAGAGCTTTTTCTTGCTTTGTCTAGGGAAAGCAAAATTATTAACTTGGGCCAAGGAATGGGATAAGGTAGCAGTGCAGCCCAGCTCTTCCACAGGGACTTCTGCACTGCAAGACAAATAAGCAAATTAAAGGAAACATGAGTGGGGAGAAGTGCACTTTGGGATCAACTCCCTTTACTTGGTAAGCAAGCACAGCACTGATATGACTGAACTTCATGGAATCGAACCTGAATGGCACCAGGAGAGTCACGTCACAGGATGCAGTCATCCAAATATGGCTGTTAATGATTATCCTTCAGCAAGATGGCCCTTGATTATCCTTCAGCAAGAGCTCACATGGTGCCCTTCCCTGACACCCAGAGCAGCATCCAGCTAAGCCATTCCCGCATCTCAGGACTTGCGCAGCTTCCTCCTGCATGGCTGAGTGTTTCTGTAGCCTCCAAGGACCCACCAGCAGCACACAGTGCTCAGAAAGGAGATCTTTAAAACCACAACAGCAACTGCAGAAGACATCCACCTCTTGGGAGGGGGAAAAGTAATTCCTCAGATTGCAAGGCAAAAGAAATACTAAGTGCTGTATTGTGCACAGAACCAGAGTGAAAAGCCAGTGCTAGAAGTATCACCTAAATATCAAATACGGAAAGCAGCTCTCCTTCTCCCAGAAGCCTGGGAACAAACCCAGAGAGAATCAAGCTGTACAAGTGATCTAGGAATCCTGAGTGGGACATGAAAAGCAAGAGTGACTTTGTGGTCAGATAAGCAAGACTGGAAGCCACCCTTACTCTACATAGTTTCAGAGCTGTTACTTACACTGGTGAGATTTTGGGAAGCTCAGGGACTTCTTCCTTCTTCTTGCGGAAGAAGAACCAGTACGTCAAAAGTCCAGTGATGAGCGAGATGAGAAACAGGTCAGTCATGCTGAAAAGGGAGTCTTGCTCGGCAGGACTATCTGGAGTAGAAACCGTTTGTTTCACGCCAGCATCCCCCATGACGATCAGAGAACCTGGAAAGAAAGAACAGCAAGTCAACAAGAGCAGTCACAAAAAGTCACAGAAGAAGAGAAAAAACACCAGCACTAAGGGCCCTCGAGATCATCCTTTCGCATCCCTCACACAGACTCTGTCCTAGGGAGCCCAGTAGCTCCCAATGTTTTCAAGCAGGATTTTCCAGCACATGCCTGTGAGTGTCCCTACATCAGGCTGTCACAACAGCAAAGCTGCAAACATATCCTATTTACTGTTGCGCCCCGCTGTCCCACACCCCTTCCACACCCTCCAAGCCCTTACATGTCCCTTGCTGGTGTATGCACCTAGTTAACTTTTAACTTCATTGGTCCCTTATCACCTCCCATTCTCCGTTTCTTCCACATCACAATCCACATGAAGAAAAACTTCTGGAAAGCAGACCTCTGAATGTCAACCAGCAAAGTGCCTTCAGGGAGTTGGTTGCTTGTTCTTACTGGCCCACAGCAGCCTGGCAGGACCTCACGGTGCCACATCCAGCCCCATCGCTTGCACGGTCCCATCCAGAGATGCTGTGAACACAAAGGAACCTTCACCACAGCCCCATGAGGCAGGATGAGGCTCTCACAGCAGCTCCCTGGGGGAAACCGGAGCAGAGCTTTAACTCACCCGTGGCCGTTGTCACAGTGTGGGATGGCAAGGACCTGCCCGTGGCCCCGTGGTCCTAGGGGAGCCCCGTGATCCCTGCCTGCCCCGCGGCTTTGCCAAGCGCTGAACCCTGCGGACCACAGTCCAGATGGGAAGATTAGCCCCACGCTGTGCAAGGACGTGCTCTGTCCAAGCAAACAGATAGTTAACTCCAAACTTGATCCATAAGGGCAAAGTGACTCTTGCCTTGTGCTTGGGCAGGCTGCCAATGCAGGAGACCATGGACATTTGAACTTGCATGCAAAGAGGGGAAAAAAAAAAAAAGAAAAAAAGACTCAGGGCTGCTGAAGTGCTATTCGAGAGAACGAAGAGAGCACTTGGCAGAGCAGCGAGAAGAGAATTAGCCTGTTCAGCACAACGGTGCCTACCAGCCAAAAGCTTTGGGACAACTTTGCAATAGGGGACTCAAACATCAAGCTGTGTCAGGAAAAACTGTTTCAAGTTTCATGTTATAGTAATGCATTCAGAAATCTGGACAAAAAAGGAAGGAGCTGCATAGGAACGGAGTGCTAATGAGGGAGACTTGCTGAGGACTTGAAGCCACAGGGGCTGGAAAGGCAGAGAGGAGAGGGGCAAACAAAGAGGAAAAATATCAGTAAAGTTATTGCTTCCAAGCCTGTGATTTCAAGCACCCAGACAAGCCAGGAATGTCAATTCCTGCAGCTCCCAGACCTCCCTCTGGCTCCGAGTTTGTTGGGAGCGGAAGGAACAGCCTCTGCTTTACCCTGCATCGCCTGCCAGAGCGGCGCTCCCGCCGCCGGCCCGGGGCCGCGCTGCCCAGTACTGACAAACTGCCCGAAATACCAGACGTGCCAAAGGATGCCAGGCGGGAACACCACAACCCGGGGCAGCAGTCGCCATGGGGCATCTCGCCCGGGTGGGAACGAAGATCGGTCAGCACTGAAGAGCTCCCAGCTCACGGCTCCTTGCGCAGTTTGTTCAGGTCTTCACTGCAGCTCAGCTTTTTCTCCCATCAGAACCAACACAACGGCCGCCTCTCCGCTCCTCTCTTGGCCCTGTTGTCCGCTCGCTGTTGCTCCTAGCAAGGTGCAGCCCAACTCCTGCAGACACACGCACGGTGGCATTGGGCCTCCAGGTACGAGGGGCTTTCTGCCTCCCTTTTCGTGCCCTGCTGATGCTGAACAGCCAGATACCTGTTTCTCTACCCGAGCTCCAGGTCACCCTGTTCTCCCTTGCAGACAGCCTTGCAGAGCCAAGCAACAGTCGGGCGCTATTTCCACACAACCGTAGACTAAACTGTTCGGTGAAACATCCACAACTGCAATTTACCTGCCAACACCCCCCAGCTCACAGCAGAGACCCTCTCCTCCTCCACATTTGGGTTTGATAACTCCCCAAGAAGCCCATCAGCGACTAAGGGGATGCTCTTTACTCCCTCCTTGATGCCACCTGGTCTCACCTGTGAGGAGACCCGAGGCTACCAGGCAGCCCATCCTCTCGCACCCCGTTCTGGCTCTCGCAGCCTCGAGCTGCTCCTGTCTCGTGGCCACGAGCCCACGAGCGCTGCCAAAGCCACCGCCGCTGCCTAACACAGCACAGCCCTCGTCCTTCTGCAAGAGCAGGGCGAGAAAGCAGGGTCCAAACACAGGCTGTCCGCGTAAACCTCTCCCACACTGCACGGGGCATTTCTTCAAGGACAGCTCAAGCCAAGTCCTTTGCCCAAAACACACCAGGGTGCCACTTTCACTCGAACCGAACAATGATGAACACACTAGTAAGTTTAGCCTCAAGGCTGGGTTCAAGGAATGGCATCAGTCCCTTCTAATTACCTCTCCTTGACAATATTTTTCCTGTGGCAATAACCACACTAAGATTTCTGCTCTGGGACAAGGACGTCAAGCTTTGAGTTTTAGTGGGGCATCCAATGGGGCAGCAAGGAGAAGGGTTGAGAAGACAGCAGATGCAATACAGAGTAGAGATCACTGTAGCCTCAAGATTGTGCATTTGGATGTGAACATTACAGCACAGGCCACAGCAAGAGGCCGGGACTATGCTGTGGACAGAGGCAGCCTTGAACATCCCAGGTTGGAAGCAACCACCTTAGCCAGGTTTTGGACAAATGCTGCACCCAGTTCAACCCCTTCCCACCTCCTCCTCCTCCTGGGCACCAAGCAGCTGATCTTCTGCGCAGCTGGCCCTTGCACCGAGCACAGCAGCACTTCTTCACAACAGGCCACACGTGCAGGGGAGTTTCGAGCTGGACATCCTCACGAGCAGCCGCCAGCTGCAGCAGTGCGCAGGCTGCGCATGCAACTCACCCCCAGCTCCCCATAGCTCCGATACGGGCAGCAGCCAACTTGCTTGGCAAGGGGCAAGAAAACAAGCGCAGGGGCTAATCATCAAGGCCAGGACACCGTCTGCAACAGCGACTCCGCGCCCAGAGCGGCGGAGGCTCCCAGGAGAGAGGGAAGAGGCGGCCCAGACCTCGCAGAGGTGCGTTGTGCTCCGAGGCGGCCGAGGAGGGAGCAGAGCCCTGGCAGGAGGCACCCTTGGGAGGCCGCGTTTCAGGAATGCGGCGCGGACACACACGGGGGAGGCAGCCTCCCTATCTCCAGCCTTCACCGCGCCGCGACCCTGCGGCGCTTCAAAGGGGAGCCCTGCAGCTGCAGGGCCGGCCGGGGGAGCACCGAGCCCAAGGCACTGGGGTCCAGCACCCACACCAGGCCCTGCTTCGGCATGGAAGGACACCCAACTCTCCGCTCTTCATTCACAAATTTCCAGGGCACAGAGGCCACACGGCAGCCTCCAACCCTGGAAGAGCCAGAGCCATCCTCGAGTGATGGAACCAAAGCCACAAACTGCTGCCACTCGGACGGCTGTCACTGCCTGGCCCTGGACGTTATGATTCAGTCACCCGCGTCCGATAACATAGTTACAGGTAGTTGTTTTTTCCCTAAAAGATTTGCTTAGATGTAGCAACAGAAATACAAAGGATGTGGAATTTCATTTCACAGTTCATTTTTCAAAGGTTGTTATAACTCCGGAACTACTCCTGTAGCTCACTTCAACACCCAGTAAAATTGTTTTTTTATCTCTATTTATCTCCATCTCACCTTGCTGGTTCTAACAAGGGCTTTCCAGACACTCACAGCAATTCATTTTCAACTGCACATCCTTCATTTCCAACTGCATATCCTTCTCCAAGTACCAGAGAAGGAGAACCTGATTCTTCCTTGCAGTTTATCTGTGAAATTCTGCACTCTCCAGAAAAAAAAAAAAAAAACTTATATAATCAGAATTTGTTTGTTTAAAGAGAAAAAATAAAATATGAGGCAGAAGTGGAAAATCCCTAACACATCCCTTGCTGTATCTTCAATCAAGACAAGAATTGCATTTTCCTCTATAAATCTTTGTTCTAGTTCTCAATCCTTTTTTATACACACAGGATCTCCTGGAAAAGTCAGTCTCAGGCAAGATGCAAGGCATCTATGTCATGCAGGGCACTATGGAAGACTGCAGCCAGGCAGCGCTGTATTTAAGCACAGCTTCTGAGCCCTTAAACGCCTCTTTTGAAGCTGGGACTTCACTTGACATACAGCAGCTCTCAGTCATGCAATGCACAAAGAAACCTCTCTGCGCATCTTTATGCTGCTAGACAAGCGCATTTCATTTTTATACTAAAAAAATGATATTTTTAACTCTAATGCACAGCCTTGAAGCAAACCACTTGACTACTTGTCAGTGCCAAGCATCCTCAATCTCTCAAGATCCCCACATGGACTGAAGGCATTATCACATCGCAGGGTTAATATGGAATTAAAATATGAGTAAAACTTCTACTGGAGTCTACTGCAATAGAACAAAGCAAGATTGAATGGGAAGTACTCTAAAAAACAAGTCTTCTGTCACCATCTATTACTCTCGTGCACACAGCTCATGGTAGCAGTAAGAAATAATGCAGCAGAAGTTCTCCAAGCCCCTCCAGCTCCAACTAGCAGACAGAGCATCAAGCTCATAGGGAAACCCCTGAGTTACCAGCTTTTTGACAAATTTAAGGATGTCACCATAAGTCACAACCGTTTGGAGTATCTTCTAACGGCCAAGCAAGGCCAGCTCTGAAGCTAAACTCATGCTTTGTGCAGAAGTTGGCTCTTGGTTTCAAGCATCTCGGGACAATTTTGCTTCCCAGTTTGGCAGCAGGACGGGAGCCTGTGACCCCTGCTGCCAAAGGCAGTGCCCCAGCTCTGCCCTGTCTCTCCTCCGACCTGCACTGCTCTAAACCCAAGTCAGCCCTGCTCTCAACAAGAGAGAAAGGAGGAGGGTGAGCGCCGACCAGACCCGGCCTCGCGCTGCCCAACCACGCCGGAACCG